GGTGAGTTCTAGGTTTTTATTCATGCTATTTAGCGCCCGTCTTTCTACCTCCATAAGGCTGATATGCCGAAGTCTGTCAAGTTGAGCAAGGATTTTTTGTTGTAGCAATACTAGGGAGAAGTCATTTGTTTTCAAGTAGTAATTTCGGAGTCGTGCTAGTTTGCGTAGAAAATTTCCGGGGGTAGACTCTAATTTTATTTTTCTGGAATGACGGCAATACTTCAGTGGTATTAGAGCATCTAGACACATCTCAATGTTCTTGTAGAACACATCGGCTGCCACTTGTGGATCATTGGTTAGGAAGAAATTTTCCCAGTGCAAGGATCTCAGAAGGGCGGAAAGCGATTCCATGTGTAACAAATTGTGTGGTCGGTAGAGGACGGCAGGTTTAGTCGGGGTAGGATCAGAAAATGGCTTATCGAAGGTGAGTTGGACCATCTTGTGATCGCTTCCAGGGAAATTGTCTAGAACAACAGCAGAAACGTTGGATAGGCCTAGTGTAAGGAATAAATCGAGAGTGTGGTTTCCCCTGGTGGGTGAATGGACATGTTGTGTCCATCCATATATATGTAAAGAAGACATCAGTCTCGAATATTTAGTGGGTGCGGCGCACGATCTCCAGTCAATATCAGGCATATTGAAATCTCCTCCTAATATTTGACATTTAACTGGTAATTCTGCTAAGTAGCAAAACAAGCGTTCCAATGTTCGTAAGTCATCCGTACTGGGATTCGGAGGGGAGTAAATGCAACCCAAAACCATCGAGGTTCTACCTAGAGTAACATGTGCAATTATGCTGTCAATATCGCTGTCTTGAAGGGCAGCGCACAGCAGTGATGCTTGGTGGTTATTTGATATATCAATGATGCAACCGCCACCAGGTGCTGAGGTTCGACACGCGAGAAAACTATGATATTGATCAATGTGATAGCAAGACTGCGGAGTTTCGCCTGTGAACCATGTCTCTGTAGCTAGGATAAAGTCAGGTTGAAAGAGAGACACCATGGAGCGAAGAGTGGGCATCTTATTTCGAAGTGAGCGAGCATTGAAGAGAAGCGATTTAGTGGATTGTGACTGGATAGATAGACACGCTAACTTGTTGAATAAGTTGGGGTAAATATCTGACGATGTGTCATCATAAGTTGAGGTGCAAGGAGTGGGGTAATTTTGATCTGGAATGGAAATGGATGATGGTGCATGAATAACTACCAAATTTAAGTCTGAATACTTCTGAGAAAGTTCAGAAAAAGGTTGAAGGCTTGTTGGGGAGAAATGACACTGAGTTTCCTCCCCAGGTCTACAAAAAAAGACTGCTCATTACGTCTATCAGGGATATAAGTAGGATTGCCATTGCGGGAAGGGTCAATAGGTAAACATGGTGCACCAAGAATGGATGCAGCAGACGTTTTCGGGTGGACAGAAACACAGGGTCGAGCAAGTAACCTACTGAGGTAAATGTTTGATAAGTAAGGAACTGTTCGAATGGCACTTAGCTTACTAACAAGCGATTCCAACGTGGGCTGGTCGACAGAGGTAAATCTGACTGGTGCTGGGTAGGCCTGTATCCTCTTGGCCACTCTAATAGCATTAAACATATGAGATTTCACATTAGCCACTTTACCTAGTATTGTAACGACGTCAATGAGATCAGTAGAGTCAGGAATATTGAAAGCAAGGAGACTGTAAAATAATGGTTTCTTTGGCCTTATGGGGCAGGCGGCAATTTTATTGGGCGATGGGGTTTGAACTGGTTTAACCACGAGAACTGCAGGTGTGGCTGTAATTTTGTGGGAAATAGGGTGATGCTGAGTATCAGCCGAGTCAAGATTTTGGGTGGTAGGATCAGAAGAACCCTCGTTCAGTGAAGATGGATTGCTAGATACCGGATTTTTGTCTCCAGCTAGTGGCTCGTTTGTTTGCTGCGTATCAATTGCTCTAGGTCTTTCGTCGTCAAGGAAAGCAGTCAGGTCTCTGGTCACAATGCTGGTCAAGTCTAAATCGACAAGGGAGTTAATGATCTGTGGCTGCTGTACATAACTGTCCCCTGGATGCGATGTCGCAGGTTGATAGCGACGGTGGTGCTTTGTTTTAAAAATCATAGGCTCTAAATTATCCGCTGCACGTATCGTTGTTAGTGGAGAGTCGAGGGGGCATATTATACTTATGGACTGATTATGGGTGTCATCGTGTGTAGGTAACCTTAATGTTGGGGTGTCAGTTTGGCAGTTGGGAACGAGACTAGCAACGGTTGTAGATGTGACCCCATTTGAGGGTAACGAGTCGCGTCGAGAGATAAGGTCAGAATCTCCATGCAGGAGTAATCTTTGTAAAGGTGTTCTGTCAGCGATTACTCTCAGGGTCTTAAAGGTAGTGTTGGCAGCAATTAGATCACGTCTGCTTATAAACTCACTAGCGGTTAAAGCGCTATTAAATTTGAATAGGATTGGACACGAGTAGCGCTGGACTTTCTTTCTGAGTCTTATGCAGCTGCATTCCGTGCCAACCGTGTTAGCAGCTTTAAGTGATATATCTCGCAAGGCTGCAGGCGGAATATTATCCGGGACATTAAAAACAACTGCATTTCTAGAACGATGAATCCTACAGACTACTTCTGCTGCGATGGAATCGATAAGAGAACCTGCGGGTAACATATGCTCTACTTTGGGACTCACCGTCTTTTGCATTAGGGCAGTTATAGGTTCCAGTTCACGGAGGACAGTCAGATAACTATCTATCGACAGCATTTTCACTTTAAGCTGGGTGACTTCATCTTGGATGTTTTGCAAGTTAATAGGCTGAAACGGCAGAGCAGCTGGGCATAATTTTCCTTCTGCTGAATTATAGGGTCTCGCAGTTTTAGAAGTTGTCGGTGCTTTGCGAGTTTTAACAGTCACTTTACGCCTTGGTAATCGACACTTGATGGCAGGTATACTAACAGAACATGAGGCTTTAGTTTCATCATTGCTTACAGATTGGTTATAAGCTGGGAGATTTGCGAGCTTTTTAATGCATTTCTCTCCATTCATTGTACTAATGGTGGAGCTTCTCGTTTTAACCTTGCTAACGAGCATCTTGTGATTAGCCGCTGGAGTTCATGGCTTGTGATCTCAGTTAAGGTAAACCGGTTATTAAACTGTACTAAAATGGTTACTGTGTCACAAGGTCGATACAAACCAACCAGGTCGGTAATCACAAAGTGCACCAAGGCGTTCTTTGTTAGTCAGTCGTCCTGTGCACACGTCCATTCTGAGTTTAACTCTGTGCCGTGTCCCGACGCGTCAATCCGTCGGTTTTGGTGGGCGCACACGTACAGTTCAATCCGACAAAGGGTGCGGCGATTGACCGGTAGGATAGGTCCGCACGGAAGTTTGACTTGGGTGATAGTCCACGGGTTCGCTATGTCGTTTGGCGAAAGCAGGGAGAAGATGCAAGTGTTGGTAGCCGCTTTACAAAACTACCGATTTGGCTGGAATCGGTTTTGATGCATGGGCCTCGTGATATGCTTTCCAGTGATTATTCGAACCGCGATCGAAGTAACAAAAGCGTTGATTTTGTCCACTTCCGTTTACACCTGATCGCAGCAGAAATTGGGGATCAGCAGTAGGCGATTATCCGTTAGGAATACAGTCCAGGAAATTTGCGCACTGTGTACGCCCGATCAAGCCTGATCGAGTGAGTGTACTCGGGTGAATATGCGGTAAGAACTGGATTCAAGAACGACGAAAAGGTAGGAGCAGCGAATTCCGGCCGGCCGGCACACAAATTCACAAATGCACAAATCCATGTAGCTAACTGTTAGCTTTCCAACACGCGGATGACAGTCCGTTTACGGCCCAACAGAGCCGCTATGCGAGCACTTATGGATAGAATTATGGAGGACTTCTCGCTACTACCCAACTGACACTCGGTTCATCTATCCTTTCGGATAAATCACATTTTGCTGTCAAATCGAACGTGCTACTGCGTGCATCAATGGGGTCAAGTTGGCAGCGTGGTATTAGCCCACTCGACATCATTGTCGATATCATCCTATACGTTATGGAGAGGCTACGGACTGAGTACATTATGAGATCTGTTATATTTGACCTCCATTTGTTGCGAATCACCTTGCACATTTGCTGGAGCCATTAGTTCAGTAATTGCTATGTTGATCTGTATAGACTGATGCCAGTTATAATGTTTGTGTATAGTATTTTAAGCATATTTGTACACATACTTTTCCTAATCCCCTTCCACCTTTCCTGAGGCTTTCACATGTATACGACGACCAATGAACAACTGGTGACTCCATCGTTAAAACGAGATTACTGTTTCATGCGCTCTTTTTAAGTCTTATGAACGAATGCGCCGCTGTTTTTTCCGAAGCAAATAAAGGGCTTCTCTAATATTCAAGAGTAGGGGAGGGGAGTAGGGGGATGTAATTAATTGAGAGTTCGTCGCAGTAGCTTCCAAATCCGATAGTCCCTCACGTGCCCGGAAAAGCACTAGACTGCAGTTTTGACCTGTTAGGCCTCTTCAGTAGTGCGAATCCATCGGATCCCTCAGGATTCGGACCCATGACCGCCAGTGGCTTATGCCACTGAGCCATGGGGGACAGCGGTCTACCGTCATGATTTACAAGCTAACTGCGGTACGGCTTGTCTTATCCTCCACTGCAAGTTACAAAAGTTGCGGAGGACAAGGTTGGCCTCGAAAGACACGACGTCCACTGGCAGTAGCTATTTACGACATTTGGAAAGTGTCTGGACAGGTATTTGATATAAATTATGATGACTGGTGATCATGGGTGCGAATCCTAAATGATCCAATGGATGCGCACTGCTGGCTAGATCCAACTGGTCGAAACTGCAGTCTTTTGCTTTTCCAAGCATGTGGACGGTTGTCTGATTTGATGGCTTCTGTGACGAACATTCGATTATTCGTCAAATATCACTTGCCTAACAAAGCATATTGGCGTCTTATTCACATATTTCTACTGTGTATGTTTCATTCACCTGCAGCCTCGACATGTTGGCGGCTTGGCTTTCGAGCACCCAGAGACGGCACTTTATGCACGAGTGGTCAGACGCGCAATGTGCATGTCTCACATTGTTGACTTTATCGAACAACAGCAGCACCTGGATTCCTCTTCGAACGAGGGAACTCTTACAAACCCTATGGAGTACCTTCCTCAAGATCCAGATGGCAATTTATTCAGCGTCGCTAACGTTAACCGTGCCGACGGCGCTTTGAAGCTTGCTTACATCTTATTACAGGCTGCAGTAAATGGTATTTATGACTGCAATGCTGCTGTCATTCCGGCAGGGCTTGAATCGAAGGTTGGGACTGTATCCAGGACAAACACGAAGCTACCTGGGTTGCGGCAGCGTTTGGAGAAGAAGGAAGGTCTATTTCGTATGCACATGATGGGCAAACGAGTTAACTATACTTGCCGCTCCGTCATTAGTCCCGATCCCAATTTGGACGTCACTGAGGTAAATTTATGGTTTGTTAATCTCCATATCAATAGCTTGCGCCGCTTCAGATGTGTACGACGCAAACTACAAATATAAAGCTCTGCATTGCTCTTGGAGTATGAGATCTTTTATCTGCACTTAAGCCATACCTGGTCATCTTCGTATCATTGAGAAACCTAGATTCAGTTGATCCCGTTTTACTAATTCTGTCTTGCTGAAGGAAATGCCAACAAGCCTTTCATGTGATAACTTTGTGCGCTGCCATTCTCATAAACCCCCTAAATATCTCGTAACAAGTTATACTCATTGGATTTGCCTTGAAACACGATGTGCCTTGGCGTAACGAACTACTTATATATGTATGGATGTATTCTCTGCAGTCTAGCAACTAGACACAGCCAACGGAAAACCATGGCAACCAGCAGATAAGGGACATTCATCGCGTCATAAGCATCGTGGCATAGTAGTTGAAGATGAGCAACACACTTCAGCTAATATGCCGCAGGAAGAAAGGAACATTTTGACAAAAAGTAGAACAAAACATTTTAGTTTGTTTTTCACACGCCGATTTTTCTTTTGTCGTTTTCAATGTTTGAAGTATTAAACATGTGAATCAATACAGTTCTGTACACAATTCTTCCACTGATTCCGGTTGCGGCCCATGTCTTCAAGAGTGCTAATCCATTGGCACTCCTCATCTTTGGTCCCTATCCTGGCAGACGTACGGATCCAACAGCGGCTAGACACGACGTCAACGATTTCATGTGCTGTCGCCGTGTAGAAGGCTGACCACCACGCGGTCGCCTCCAACCAAGTCCCTGACGAACGAATAGAGCGCGACGCGGTAGACGCTCAGGTGCCATGCGTAGTACGTGACCGAGCCATCTTAACTGGCGCAACAAAACAAGTTTCTTGAAGGGAATACTCGCATTTCCCAAGATGCGACATCGAACGTCATTACTGTTAACTCGATGTTGCCACCAAACACGAGCAATCCTCCTTAAGAAATCGTTATCGAAGGCACAAAGACGACGCATGTCTTCCCTGCGAATCGACCAGGACTCACTCCCATACAACAACACTGAGCGAACTGATGCACTGTAAACGCGGCCCTTTAGCGAGAATGAGACGTCGCGACGACGCCGCAAGTGCCTCAGATTGACAAATGCTGATCGAGCTTTAGCGAGGCGAAGAGAAACTTTCTATCTACCTATTCAAGTTGTGCACCTTCAAGAGTGAGCTCGGAAGCAACTGAAATCCAATCCTTGAGCAGTACTTTACACTTTGACGAGGCGAAGCTCTTGCCATACTTAGATGCCTCAACCGCCAAACGAACCAGTATGAGTTGTATACCTTGAGGGTCGTCACCAAGTAAGGCGATATCATCAGCATAATCTAAGTCGATCACGCGCACACCCGGTAGTCGCTTTAGGCCGAAATGTTGGAAATCTTCTAGAGCATTCGACAGAACGTTTTCGATTGCTAAGTTGAAGAGGAATGGGGACATAGGGCAGTCCTGTCGCACACCGCTATTGACAGCGAATTGCTAGGAAAGCTTGCCATAGACCCTCACTCTGCCGGATGTATGAAGGTAAAGTGCTCGTAAAATGGTGATATATTTCTCTGGCTCCCAGTCCTTTGCAAGAAACGCCATAAAACAGGTCGATCAACGGAGTCAAAATCAGCACGTACGTCTAGGGATGCAACGATAGTGGGCCTGTGATAAATGTGGCGATGTTCGAGGAGCTGGAGGAGCGTAAAGATTTGATCCACGCATCCGCGGCCGGGACGAAAACCCGCTTGTTCTTCACGATAGTATGATTCACGTACTGGGGATAGTCAGCGAAGCAGATTGGATGCCAATAGCTTCGAGGCAATCAAAATAATACTAATCCCGCGATGGCAAACACATGAAGTGCGAGCATCTTTCTTAAAAATCGGGACAATAACTGTTTCGCCCCAAGAGGAAGGCCCCTTCTCTTCATGCCAGATTTTCGCGAACAGCGAGGTCAGCTGGTTAATGCTTATCACACCGCCGTACTTAAATAGCTCCGGAGGAACTCCGTCTGAGCCAGCACCCTTGAAACGCTTCAAGCGTCGAATCTCGAGGCAGATTTCCGCTTTGCTGGATGGATTCAGTGGAACAAGCCAGGGTGGACCACAAGGTCTACTTCATGTACTGGTGGATAGTGGAGGCCAATTGAACGGCGAGTGAAAGCGCTCGGCTCAGCGGTCCATACGCCTATGTTGATTGGTGATCGGAGACTCATCCACCTCGCGAATGACCTCACTGACACCAGGCTTTCTTAGGCCAGTGGACGGAATGAGTTGGAAAAGATTGCGATTGTTGCCAGAGAGGGCAGCCGTCTCCATCTCTAAAGCACACTCAGACCACCATGTCACACGAAGCTTGCGCAGGCTTTGCTTGACCAGCCGGTTGCGCAGAACGGCGCCGCTGGTTGCAATCTGATTCCACCGGGAGATCGATGCGGCTTTCGAACGGCTCCCGAGAACGGGCAGTGGGCGTCGAGTTGGGCCGCAGCTCGACTGTCCGAAAATGGTCACTGCTTACCGTATACAAGTCCAGTGTTGCTCCATATCTTGCGGTGGATTGCAAATGAGTGCGTATGCCATTGAAGACTGATAGCTCGCCTGGACCTAGAAATCAGTTAATCTGTTTGCATTCATGTTGCGTCGCTTCGTGCTTTGGAACCTCCCAAAATACGTACAGATTTTCGCGCAGGCCAGTGCATGATCTGAGTCAACGAAGATAGATCAAATGGACTAGCAGTCCAGTACGCTGCCACGTCATCTGAAGCTAATTGCAATGTGCTCAATTTGGGACCACGGTTGTGTTGGCGAAGGGGGACGCCACGTTGCGGAACGCTTCTTCGTACACCTGAAGTTAGTGCTCGCGACAAACAGATGGTTGTCTTCGCACATTGTGAGAAGCCTCTTTCCGTTATCTGAGCGGTTCTCATCAAGCGCGTGGTGACCACGAAGGTGGCGTTCGTATGGTAACAGGCGGCCAACCCGTGCATTAAAATCCCCGGCAAGGACAACGATATCCGACTTTTTAGCATTAGTCAAGAGCTGTGTGGATCCCGGTAGAACTCGTCTTTAACCGAATCTCCACTGCAGTTATTTGGAGCGGACACGGTGATCACAATCAAACTGCGTCTCTCTTCACGGCGCTTGTTTATTTTACATGAACCCCGAAGCCGGACTACACATAGTCGGCTGTTAATCGGTAACCAGTCCAGTAGTGCCGCCTCGGCCTTGCCATTTAGTGCTATACCTACACCCGCCAAACCCGCTGAGGCTGCTTTTAGATTTTCAGAAAGATGCAGGTGATATCTGGCTTCGTTGTCAGTGGGGGATTTCAATGTAAGCACAGGGCTGAGATCTTGCAACCGGGTTTCTGAAAGTCAGCAGACATCAGTATCTAGGGTGCTTGCTAGACCGGCTTGCTGTCCAATCTGCATGAGTGTTCGAACGTTGAACCACGCCAGACGGAACGAGGATCGGTGACGAAGGAGAGCCATAGGTTAAACTCCGTGGTTCGTGGCGCAACCGGAATCGCAGCCGGATTGTTGAACACATGAAGCGGTTAACGGAAAGTGAGGATTGTTAGCAAGCAAACAATTGGCGTGTGATGAAGTCGCATGAATGTGAGAAGCAGAAACAGTAGCTGATGAGTACGTTATAGTACAGTCCATGGTTTTGTGAGAGGGCGTGATACTACCCGGTTGCCCAAGCCGAAGTAGGGAGTTGACTTAGAGCAGTCTACCCCGAGCCTTTGGCTAAATAACCTATCCTCAAGGCAGCGGGTCCGATTTAGGGAATCGCATCCAGTGGGAGGCGCTGACTGAATGTTCAGTTCATGCGTCTTTGTTTGGTAGATCACCAAACAGGAGCCCAATACTCCCCATGAAATCGGCACCATTCCTTGACTACAATGGCCCACCGAGGTGGAACATTGTCGCCGAACACTTTACTGGAACGGGGTACACCCGAGCCACCCAGCTGGTACCACTAGGTATTTCGGCAAGCCAACGGACGAACTACTTTATGACTGCACGTATAGTTCACTAATCCCGATGTTTTCGATCCCTGTTCTGTCCGCCGTGTTGCCGTATATTTGGAACTTTTCTCGTTTCAGCTTTTGATCTTTTTCTCTTGTTGTTTCTTGTTAATTTTCATTGTCGTGACCACGCGATTTAATACTCAAACTCACTTCGGTTCATTTACACTACTTTCTTTCCGGCTTTGAAGCGCGGATAACCCCATTGCTCGCATCGCATTATCAATAAGGATTAACATCGTTAGCATAAGACGAGATAGAATAGGGCGAACAAACAGCCGAAGGTTACTCGCAGACAAGAGGAACAATCCAGTGTATGAGTGTACACTGGAAAATATCTGCATGTCCGTGTTTTCAAGTACACTACGTTTCCGTGCTCGATTGTTGGTTGTTTTGCCAGCGCTAGCCGGCACTCGCTTTTTATTTGTTTCCCTTCTCAGTACTTTAAACTGCTGATTGCCAGTCGTGAGCGCACAGTTGCTTTCTGATTGTGATTCTCAACTTCTCACATTCGCATTAATGATTCAAATAAAAGTTACCGTTTGTCATTAATCATGTTGCATACTTCTTCTCTGTCCTACCTTTTGTGATTTTTTCTTTTGTATTTTCTCTGATCATATTTCTGCGTGCTATCTTTCTTACTACCAAGCGTTTACCGCACCTGCTTGTAATATTTCCTCGTCTCTTTACTAACAGCTTGGTGTGCTGGACAATGCATTGGATTTAAATTGAGGGCCTTTGAGGCACTTCGATGTCCATTGAATTCGTTCATTTTGTTCTATTTTACCCTGTTCACTTACCCCATTTTTTAAAGTTCATTTTACTCGCTTTCCCGCATCAGATTGCCTGTCTCTCACACTTCTGTTATTAGGTTGGAATCCCCCTCTTCTTTGCGCTTCGTTTGACTTTCCCCGCTCCGGTTAACACCCTGAACCTAAAACATTTGCGCCAGTTGGTTTCCAACGGACCCGACAACTATCCAGGTGCACGGAGCATACTGACCCCGGAAGGTCAGCTAATACACCTACCCCCTGGCAACACTCCACATGCGCGAAAAAAATGCGAATTGCTCGCCCGTCGCTTGACTGCAGTACCCGCTAACCCAAGTGGCATTCCCTTCATTGTGAGTCAATGACATTTTCAACGCTCACAAACTGACGTAATGCCATAATTTCTCAGTCGTCACGCTTTTTATCCACCAAGTACAACTGCCATTATCCACTTCTATACCAGATTCATCAACTGAAACTGTAGCGTTTACCGTGCGAATTTCATCATAGCTTCACTTTGTCAGATAGTCACTACACACCGAACATACACCGGACGGCAGTTTGGACTTTTGGAGATTCGCCAGTAGTGCACATTTCATCTCTAACAAGTGAGGAGCTGGAGCCACCAGCGACCTTTCATGTTCGTCTGAGTGGCCACAGGGGGGGACAAACAGCAACCGCAGACACCAAACAACCATTTGTGGTACAGCACAACACTTCCTCCACTGCCTCTACACATTTCCAATGTGCAGAGGGCAGGGCAGGCTCATCCGTTTCACTTAACCATCTTATGTTCCTCAAGATTGCGAAGTTCATGTTGTCAACATGGCTGCCACTGTTTTTCTTGTTGATTTGTGCCACTTTACGATATATTTCTCTTTCATCCAATCCGCCAGGTTAATCGGCATTTACTGGATGGGGATTTTCTAGTTATGAATCGTCAGCCAACGCTTCATAAACCTTCAATGCAAGCACATCGTGTCCGCATCATCCATTCGAGTTCAGCTAAGACGCTGCGTATGCACTATTCCAATTGCCGCGCGTACAATGCTGACTTTGACGGTGACGAAATGAACGGCCATTTGCCACAAAGTCATGCGGCTCAGGCTGAGCTGGAGTTGCTGGGTGAGTTTTCGGTTTCCGGTCGTTTTGTTTGCTCTTTCTCCACCTTAGGTGAATGAGCTACTAGTGGCACTTGTTCATTGTTTAATATGTTTGTCGTCACCATTGAGACAGTCGATCGATAACCTTCATGATAATCGTATCATACTACCAGATGATGCTGTTAGTTTTATGCACCACAATTGTGCACCTCGTAGTTTCGTAGTTTCGTCCTGTTAAAACGTATCATTGACAGTCAGATGTTATTCACATTGATTAAACTGATTTCCCACTGTGTTGCTCGGTTTCCCGTACGTACACACTGATCATCCACATTTCCGATCCCAGCAGAGGTCGTGAAATGTCATCAATGATATCATCTCGCAGTAGGTCTCTACCAAGTGACCTGAGTCACTGTATTCTGCCCCTTTCTCTACTAACCGTGACATTTTCACTGTCGGTTTCCACTTGCTCACTACAAGCTGTAGGAGTACGCTCTTGCAGAAACACGTAGACTTCACGTCTGATCCCGTGTCGCTGTTGATTGACGACTGCACTTCGATATGTTGAAACCCGGCTCCTTATAGCTTGTACGCCGTGTATTTCTACACTCACTTTTGTTTCTGAAGCTTAAACTGGGTTCACAATGTCCTTAATTTGACCGCCTAGTCACGTCGTTTATACGTTATCCAGTTTATTGCATTTCCCTGTACACAGCCATAGACCACACACACTATACACGTTAGCTAGATGGGAAATACCTCAGCTGCTGTGCCGCAATATCTAAAAGAAAAAAGGGAATAAAGTACAACAGGTACAAGCCAGCTGAGCTACCGGTAAGTTATCTGCCGACTAGTATGCAGCACAACAAAAATAATTTCCTGTGCAAAATTATAAGATACTAAATAATGAGGTCGTAGTTGGAGGGGAAGGCTAAGAGGGATGCGGTGGGACAAAGAAACTCACAGCATGAACGGTACTGAGTTCGGCTCCTTGCCATGTCAGCAGATGTGTCCAACCAAACGTGTTCATCGTCTTTCGGATCCCAACCAGAGATCCGAGACACTCCAACCGAGGCCAGCTTCGAAGTGAGGCCCTTCATTCCTCCCGACCAAGTCATCGCTTAGCCACCTCTCTTCTTCCATCCACCTCCCCTGCGCGCAAACAACACACGTCGCGGGAGCCGGTGGGCTGGCATGCGTAACACATGGCCGAGCCATCGGAGCCTGGTGCGTGAAATGACGGTGCTGAGTGGTTCATTTCCTTTTCCTGTGCCGTAAACAATGCGTCGAACACGCTCGTTGCTCAAACGGTGTTCCCATCGGACGTGAGCTAAATTGCGGAAGGCTTCGGTGGTCGAACGTAACTAGCTTCTTTATGTCCGTCGATCTAAGGGGCCAGCTTTCACAACCGTACAGTAGGGTCGAACGTACCGCAGCATTATACATTCTAACCTTCAGGGTGAGACTGATGTCACGCCGGCGCCATAGGTGGCGAAGGTTAGCAAAAGCGCCTCGAGCTTTTGCTATACGGTTCGTGAGCTCATCTTCAATCCCACGGGCGTTGATACAACTTCCCAGGTAGTTGAATTTTTGTACGATTTCTAGCTGATCCCCACCAAGGGTCAGCGAAGGAGGCGGTCCAGGCCAATCTTGGAGGAACGCTTTGCACTTCGATGGTACAAAGCAAAGCCCGGAGCGGCTGACAGACAGTGTTAATCTGTCTAGTGCCGCTTGGCACGTCTCGGAGCTGTCACAGATGTGGGCAATATCGTTAGCATACTCCAAGTCAAGAAGTCATTCTCCTGCGAGCAGGTCCACGCCTTCTAAGTTGTGTCCTTTGAACGCCATTTCCATGACTTCGTCAATAGCGAAGTTGAAGAGGAAAGGTGACAGCGGGCATCCTTGTCTCACACCGCTGGAGATATTGTAGGGTGGCGACAGCTTGCCGTAAGCTCTCACTGCCTGAGGTACGCGCATATAACGCTCGGATAATGTTTAAATATCTTTTAGGTGCACCTTTCCTGACTAGCCAGTCCCGAAGTGCACGTCTATCCACTGAATCGTATGCACCTTTGATATCGAGGAACACAACAATGGTGGGCCGCCAATATATGTGACGGTGATCTAACAACTAAAACAAAGTGAAGATGTGGTCAATGCAGCCACGACTTCGACGAAACCCGGCTTAATCTTCACGAATCTGGCTTTCACGAGTGCCAGTCATTCTGTGAAGGATTATAGAGGCAAACAATTTAGAGGCGATGGAGATCAGACTGATTCCTCTATAGTTGTTGCCTTCCGATCGTGCCCCTCCCTTGGAAATTGGGTCTATGACGGAGCGGCTCCAGTCGGTTGGGACAGTTTCCTGCTCCCACACTTTCACTAGTAACTCGTATAAATCATCCACAAGAGCAGGTCTCCCGAATTTGAAGAGGGCTGGAAGTAGACCAACTGATCCCGCGGCTTTATTTAACTTCAACAGTGCGATCTCACGTTCGACTTCTGAGCGAGAAGGTGGATCCAAAGGGACAACACAGGGAACACGGCGGTCAGTGGCCGGCGAGAAATCTAACCATTCCGATCGATTAAATTGCCTTTTAAAGTGCTCAGCCCAACGTTCCAAGCGTTTTGACAAGTTGTGTATAGCTTGTCCACTCTCGTCACGTATAGTCTCACTAACACCAGGTCTCCTGCTGCCCGTTTTCCGTATCAGCTGGAATAGCGTACGATGGTTACCAAGGGCAGCGGCCATTTCCATCTCTGTTGCACCATGAGACCACCAGGATTCGCGGTCTCCCTTCAGGCTAGCACGGAGTTTTGTCCGGAGCTCTTTGCGAGTTTCATTGTGTTCACATCCAGCCGGAATATGCCGACGAGCATCGATAATTTCCAGAGACTGCGAAGGGACCCAATGTCCATGTTGGCGATTAGACTTACCACATGAGGATTTTCCTGCTGCTAGTAAGGACTGGTGAATATTAGACCAATGAGCTTCAACTGCATTCAATGAGCGCTTTCTCAACTCTCATGACAGCGTACTTTGATAGGCATTCAGAACAGCTTGTTTCTCCACTTGGCTGGTGTCAATGCGCCCTCAACGTCGTCGTGGGCGTCCGCCAAAACCCATCCGCATGTCAGCACATACAAGTGCATGGTCGGTGTCCACATCTATGCTCCAAATCGAACGACAGTTCTGGACGCAGCCTCTCCAGCGGTAACTGATAGCAATGTGATCGATTTGCGTCCATAGCTGGTTCGAGGCTGGTGGGCGTCAAGTCACCCTCCGGGGGATGCTGTGTCGGAAATTAGTGCTCGCCTACACCATGTTGGCCACCCAGATGCAGTTCATCAGTGGATACTTTTCCAGCTTGAGCGTTCAGATCCCCAACCAGCATAATGTGTCCAAGCTTCTTCTGTGGCGAAGAAGCTCGTTCAATTGGCGATAGAAGTCCTCTTTTATCGAATAATCGCTAGTTTGTGGATGCATAGGCAGCGATGACGAATAGACACCTGTTAGTCCCGCGCGACTTCGAAGCTTTGAACGAGCCGGCCAATTGGGCCGCACACATCCGGCTACTGATTGGAATCCAACGAACCAGAGTAGCTTCATCCCGGGGACTCAGGGCAATACCAACACTGGCTTGGCTGGTGCTCGAAGCTGCATCGTCACCGGATAGGCGCAATGAGAAAGTGCTGCTGGTGTCACCTGAAGGGGATTGCAAAGTGAGCACAGAGCTCGAGTCTTGCAGGCGGGTCTCTGATAAGCAGCATATATCGATCGAGAGGGTCTCTAGTGTTCGGGCAACTGCTGCCCGTTGACCGATAGGTAGCAATGTGCGTACATTGAGGCATGCCAATCTGAAGGATGATCGAGGGTTCCAAATGGAAGTCGATGAACTGGGCTTGGCTACTTGGTTGGACATGGGCTTGTCGGCAGGACAGGAATGACGCTCCACGTTCATATGTGAGTTGAAACTGGAAGTTAAAGGCCTAGCAAAGCAAGGTGGGGGAGGGCCAAGAATTTGGGGCTTGAAAACAAGGGGGATAAAAGTGAAGCTGGAACGGGACGGTAAGATAGAAAAAGCGTAAGAGGAGGAATAAGAAGATAGTAAGGTTTGAGCAGTAGCATCCAAACCCCTATTTACCCTGCTAGCAGATAGGGCACCGTTGATTATCCTCGGCGGTGCCCAGAGCATCAATTAACTGCTTGAAGAGAATTTCATTGTATAGCGTGGGCAGGATACTGTCCGGTTGCCCAGGCCTAGACAGGAGAACGATTAAGTTTCTCAGCCAAAGCGTTTGGTTCAAAAACCTTGCCGGAAGCCAGCGGGTTTGGTGTTGGGCTACAAGTAGTCCGTTTTAAGGAATAAGGAGCCGCCCACATTCCAACCCCCAACCTGGAGGACCAGGAGGCTGAGTTTGTCTGGCCTATAACCATTGACCCATCTGGTATGAGTGGCTCTGAAGGTGCAAAAAGAAGCACCCCCAGTGTAGCTCAATGGATCGCTGAGGCACACAAACCATCGCACCACGTTGTCCAAAGTCCGGCCCATGGGCACGCGTTAACATTTCAGCTGTCTCGCGGCCTCATCATTAAATAATAAATTTAGGCTTGGACAAATCTCGTTCACGGGTAATTTTTGTTATTATCTTAATGTCAGACTGAATATGGCCCGATATCTTATTATTTCCCAAAATTTGACCCTCCTTACAAAAAGTTTGGACACATTACCAAGTTTATTCCATCGCCCTGTACTCAAGACCGTAGACCAAAATTCCACGGGTCATGGAGGGCGTTATCAACATCACTGGAGTATACCATTTAAGACCAAGATCCCTTGCTGTGGCCAGCTTATTCTGCCCACATTGCAGATGACTTCTTTTAGTTCGCTCCAATTGTCATTCACCATCCTGACGTATCTGCATCCTTGTGAAAATCCACGCCAACGAGGCGGTGCAAAGGGAGACGGAACAAATGAGGTTACTAGTGTCTGAAAGAATTCACTCCACAGGTTAGACGTGCGCGCTAGCTTTTGGACGCAACATGACGGATACAACAGTACCGATGCCTTCGCTCACGCCGTATCAGTACTTTCAGTACGTAATGTGGTCGACTCTTTGACCCCAAAAACCGCGAACGAGGTGGCGTTAAAGCCGTTCTTTTTCATGTACCTCTGTCATGTAGTTGAATGACTATAAACACATTTTAGGTAAAGCATACGCAATGACGTATGTTTTACGTTAAGAATGTATTGGCGGACCTGGGCTGGTCGCACCCGCTGTCGTGTTTTCTTCCAGGTTACACTACTCCCCGTACATTATGTCCCTAGTTTATGTCCACCTCGTCGCTCATTGTTATCCTATCCTGGGCTCTATTTCACAGAATGCTTCTTATTTATAACCGGTCAGCTGGTGTGCTATCTGCAACAGATGCTACTCTAAACCGATTCATCCAATTATTCATTATTGGCTTCAATGCCTTACTGTAATCGGCCACGGCAATACGTTTTGTTCCCTATTTTCCGTTTTTGTTCTCACTCAAACATATGGTACCAAGTATTCTTTTCTTCGTTGCATTGTTACGCTTCGTCTCGGCCAATGGTCCTCATTTTCACGTGGTTACTGTGTTCTACTTTTTCGATTGTTAGCTTCTGTTCCCCATCATTATCTGGGCCCAAAAGATGGAGCTCCTTTAGCTGGTCTCATTCAAGATCATGTGATAGCGGCTGTCAAACTGACGATGCGTGATCGTTTCCTCACTTATCCTGATTATTTGGAATTGGTTTATCACGCTCTCCGATCGCTATTCACCTTGTCCCAGTGCAGCTTAGAGGGCCCACCCAAGCTGCTCACGTTGAAACCCGCTATCATGTGGCCCCAGCGGTTGTGGACTGGCAAACAGGTAATAACTACCAGTTTCCAAGTTACTTCATGTTTTTCTCCATATCGACATCCACTTCCTATTCAATTTGATGTCATTTTAGGTTATCTCTACGCTGTTGATCAACCTCACTCCACTAGACATGCCGCATCTGAACTGCACTCTGCAAGGTCGGCGCACAAAAGCCGAACTGTGGTCTGGCGTTGAACCCGGAAAACCAACTCCTTTATCTGACGTAGATGTAGTCGTCTGCGACGGATACCTGGTATCCGGTATACTCGACAAGTCCCATATCGGATCCTCTAGTGGCGGCCTTGTACACTGTGTCTATGAGTCGTATGGCCCTGAAGTTGCAGCCCATTTGCTTAATGGAATCAGCTTGATGGCAAACCGTTTTCTTCGTTTGATTGCATTCACAATGGGTATAAAAGACATGCTTCTATCGTGCGATGCTGATCGTGACCGAGCACGTCGATTCTCCAACATGAAAGATTTGGGATTATGCGCATTTGCAGACGCATTCGAGCTGGATCCAGACGCTCTCTCTGAACCGGAAGTTCGGCATCTATATCGGCAGGCTCACTTTGCGCCTGCTACCCAACAAAATTTGGGAAGGCGTTTGATGCAACTGGACAACGCCATGAAAACCCGGTTGAAACGAGCTCAAGATGCTGTTTGTGAGTAAGTTGTTCTTCACTTTGCTGCTTAGGCACTAAGATTTTCTCAAACTGAACGAAGTCATAGAACCTGAACTGAATATTCACAGCATTTGTACATTTGTTGCTTAACCTTTCTTATGTCTATATTCTTTTCAAGGATCTATGGCCACTCTTCGGATTGTTCTGTTTAGTTCAGCAATGTAGTATATATTCCTTTCGCCTTCTGTAATTCGATCTTATCTCGGACTGTTCTATAACTCGGTTAATTTCGGAACCTACTATTGAGTAATCTTCACTATTGCGGTTACCAAGCTCTGCCACTCCGACTTCACACCCCACCTTCTTTACCATATAAAGCCCAAGTGAATGCATCATCCTTATGTTCAAGACCAGACCCAAGTCTTCCCTTACTGTTTCGTTTTGTTCCCGGAATATACCAGTGTCTTAGGTGCCCAATTTAATTCGTCCACTCTCCGATGTGTTTTACTGCTTGAAAATCGGTTTATTCGTATTCAAATCTTTTGTGCATCCAGCATCCTATTGATTCTGCCTTTGCAGTGCTGCCATACCGTCCGGATTATACGTGAGATTTCCGGAAAATAACTTACAGCTGATGGTGCACGTGGGAGCCAAAGGTGGAATGGTGAGCTACTCTCATACCGGCACCGCTTTTTATTTTCTAATTCCTTGATGTGTCTTCTCTCCACGGCGTTTTCCGACGCAGAATTACTCGCCCTGTACCGCTTCGGTTGAGTGAATCGACCATTATCTATGCAACGAATTCGGTCACTGTTAACCATACTGTGCTGTGGATAACAAACTAGAGAAACTCAATCAGTGTTTTTGCATCAAAGATAAGCATGCGAAAAGTCAGAAAAGTGTATATTTCGACTAATCTGCTGGGCAACAAGTACTACTTAACTAGGCTGGCTCCTCTCCTGTTTCGGCAGTTTAGATCGTTCTAACCCATTGAATCGCGCTGCACAGTGTCCTTGGCGTCTCATGAACTAATATCAAGTGGACACATTTTGGGGTTTACGGAGGCTACATTTCTCTGGTCATCAGATTGAGGGTTGGAAATAGTTTTGCATGTGCTTTCTGACCGCACTTCCGCCTAGGTTATGGCTTCTTACTTTGTACGCGATTTTTAAATTATATCTTCGATCTGTTGGGATGAAACAACACCGCAATCTCGAACTCATACTGCGTCGGATATCGTACACGCTTGCACACATACTGAGTACGCCAGGTGTTTATGTATGCCTCGATTGGAATTCAGAGCACTCAGGTGGTTATGCAACCAACTCGGCCCGACGTATTCTCTCACTGGTGCTTGCACACGTCCAGTCATACTGGTGCAGCAACCACAATTCAGACTAAAGCGAGTGTCGTCCTCAGCCTTAGGTCTGAGTGTGTAGTCCGTTGGACGATTTCATCTGCAACTGGCGCACTGAGCAACGCGAGACGCTGTTTGTTAGGTTGTGTTGTATACGCTCCAACAGACTATGGTTCTTGTGATGTCGAAGTCATTTTCCATTACGAAATTAGCGTCTTTTTGCTTATCGCAACCAGCTGGGGCATGATACCACTTAACGCATGTGTGAATACTCAACTCATCTATCATAGCTCCTCGGATGATCAGTTAGGTTGTATGTTTGGGCGTTAGATGTTCACACCAATGTCAGTGTATACTTACTGCTGCCGCTATTGGAAAATAGGTCTCAGTTCTATGAAACACCATTCCCATTTGATTCAGAAGTAAGCAAATGTGCAAAGCATATTCTTTTCAATAATTCTTGTCAGACGTATACAATTATGAAGCAAAATATTGGAGAGAATAAAGCTCGTGGAGGCTTGTACAGAAAGCAACCAACTCATTAACTGGGCAATAAGAAAACTAAATCAATGGTTTGATCAATCAAACTGTCGCATTAGGAAGCACGTAATCGAGTCAGGTCATATGTCAAGTTCAAGGCCAAGGCAATTTCAGAGGCTGTAGCAATGTGCGCTGTTTGCACAGCTCTGGTTTCAGAACCTTGATTGCAATGGCTTCAGAAATGGTCAACAGATGTTTCTTAAGCTGTTTTGTTTAGCGTTTAGGGATAGTATAAACGACTTGAAACGACTGGTTCATCTGGACCTGATGTCCAGTGTCAACCAAGTGTTGATACATTTTACGGTGTCTTTTCGTAGTGACGCAGGACAATGTTCAACGATTCTTTTGGACAAACACCTGGTCGTATGTTCAAGATACCTAGTACCACAGGTGCAGGTGAACTGGTATAAGACAAACAATTTGGACCGAACCGCGAGTTTATCCTTTAAGCGCTGGAGTACCAATGGTCTTGTTTCGGCAAGTAGTTTCAGATTGGCGGCTGGAAATGTCTTGGCCAATACCGTCGAGATTTTGCTATTCAACAGTTCGAACGCGACGTCACCTTTAAAGGGGACTGTAAAGAATACATCTTTTTGGGCACTGTAGCGACACATTTGACAGCCTCAAGCTGTTTGGAGTGCTTTGTGATGAAAGGTACGGGGTATCCATTTTCTTGCAGCGTGTTAAAGATGAGCTTGGTTTCGCTTTCCAGCGTCTTTGGACTGCATATTGCTCTGGCGCGATGGTATAAGCAACGGACTAAATTCTTCTTAAATCTCAGCGGTACAAAGCTAAGAAAGTGGGTGTATTGACCTACCCACATCGCTTTGCGAAAAACACTCCTTTTGATCGTCCCATTTTCACGCCGATGCAATAGAACGTCTAAGAACGCCTAGCAGCCATCTTGCTCAACTTCACTGGTGAATTTTAATGGTGGATACACTCTGTTAAACTGATCTAATCGGGTTAGATAATCTGTGGAAGAGTCACAGACAATGAAAGTGCGGTCCATGTAACGGTAGTACAAATCAAATGAAGAGTGTTCAGGTGTCCACGTTCAAGTTGGTTGCTTTCTGTACAAACCTCTACGAGCTTTATTCTCTCCAATATTTTGCTTCATAATTGTATACGCCAAATGAGAATTATCGAAACGAATATTCTTCGCGCATATCCTTCCTTCTGACTCAAATAGGGATAATTTATGAACGGAAAAGATGCAAGCAATTTAAAGTGTTTAGTGACCTCACCAATTTCTTGAGGTTTAACGCCCGGCTTGCTGACTCGAAGACTGAGATCCATTTCATCCAAGATTGCATAAAAGGTAACCAGTATCCAAAGACTTATTGGAAATCGCTCCGACGAATGCACATTCGTCCAAATGCCAAGTCTCTCAAAAGATATGCTCATAATCTCTTGGAAGCCATCCAATCTCGACTCCCTGACCTGCAACAATTACGTGCTCTCTACTTGTCCGTGATCGACGGCCCCAGCAGTGATCACCGCGAATCTTTCAATTGCTATTTGCAAGAAATATGCGAAAAGACGAAAGAGAGGAGATACAGTAAGTTGCTCAAAAGCTTGGAACCTTGCTCACCTGAAACCAAGTTCCCCGCCAATCCAGATAGATAAGTGCATAATCTCTCTAGCGAGCAACTGAACCAGCTACATTTAGAAGCATTGGCACTTCTTTCAAAATTCTGCCTCTCCCAGCCGAAATGCTGGCAAATTTATCTGGAGACCCAATATGAGAAATTAATGCAGCAGTTAGTTGATTTAACACCTTCATCTTCACTCGCACTTGACACGTTTAAGACCACGTTAGTACATCTCGCCCATCAGTATCGAAACTCCAAGTCTCAAACATCTAACATCTTAACAAAAAAGTATCGTGACGCAATCAACGAGTTGTTATTCAACCCAAAACTAATCCTTTCCTGACCAGACAAGGGATCTGGCTGGTTATTGATGAACAGTTCTGGTCACGTCTCTAAACTGAGGTGGACTTCGGTCATTCCGATCGCAAAGACCGTAAGTAAAAATATTATAGTGTTGCTCATCCCAACACTGGCACCCCAAGACCGCGGTTTCGTCCTGGTTGGGACTCATCAGTTGGAGGTAGCCTGAGTTGGGCTGGAACTCAGAGCTTAGTGGCTCATGGTTGACGCCATAAGCACTATGCCACTGAGATCCGCGAGCCACGCTTGGTACAGCGGAAACGAATTCGAAGATGGACTGACCTCCTTATTCGAATGTATCTGGAAGGAAGAGAGTGTCCCGGCTAATTGGAGGGAATCGATTATAGTGGCAATATACAAAAAGGGCAGTCGCACAGACTGTTCTAACCACAGGGGTATTAGCCTAACGCCAGTTGTAGCAAAATTATTGGCCTCGATTATCGTTCGTCGCCTCATTGCGGAACGGGAATCTCGGATTAGGGAAGAGCAGGCCGGTTTCCGCCCAGGACGTGGCTGTATAGACCATATATTCACTTTGTGGCAGGTGCTAGAGCAGCGCCACGCATACCGCAGACCGACAATAGCTGTGTTCCTCGATTTCAAGAGTGCGTTCGATTCAGTCGATCGATGGATTCTGTTCGAAATACTTGCGCGGAAAGGTGTTCCCACGAAATATGTGAATATCCTTCGTGCTCTATACTCGAACACTACAGGCCGCGTCAGGGTCTACGGTGTCTTATCGGATAGCTTTCCGACCACAAGTAGCGTTCGTCAGGGTTGTCCGATTTCCCCATTTTTGTTCATTTTCGTCGTGGGTTCTATCATGGAGTGTTCCATTACGGAATCTCACGATGTAGGCGTTGAAGTGCTGCCTGGTGAAAGGTTAGTTGATCTAGATTATGTGGACGATATCGTGTTGCTTTTTGACGATGTTGCGGCGGTCCAATCAACCCTGACTGGCTTCTCTGTAGTGGTCCCATTATTTGGTATGCACTTCGCACCTTCAAAGGTCAAAGTTTTGCTGCAGGACTACCAGCCACTTGATGACGCCTTGACGCTTGCTAACGAGGAACTCGAGGTGGTTGATCAATTCACTTATCTTGGTAGCTTTATCAGCAATGATGGGCGCATAGAAACTGACGTCAGCTCACGTATTGCAAAAGCCAGAGTTGCCTTCTTGAACCTGCGGCATCTATGGCGACGGAAGGGAGCTTCCCTCCGTCTGTAAAGGCCGTGTATACAAGGCCACAGTGAGGGCCGTTCTGCCCTATGGTAGTGAAACTTGGCCCCTTCGGTCTGAAGATCTGAGGCGCCTTCAAGTCTTTGATCATCGTTGTTTGCGAAGCATTGCTGGTGTCGGATGGCACCAGCGTATCCGCAATGATGATGTGCGTAGGCGAGTACTAGGTGGTGATAATCATGCTAGCTCCCTAGAACAACAGATAGCACTGAATAAGTTGCGTTGGCTCGGGCACGTGCTACGTATGCCTGGTCACCGCTTACCTAGGATGGCCTTGTTTAGTCTCTCAGGTGTAGGATGACGCAAGGCTCGAGGTGGACAGAAGTTGACTTGGCAGCGGGAAATGAAGTCACTGACAACCAAACTGGGTGCCGTTGGTCCGTCTCGCCTTCCGGGCTGGAGTCCACGTGACTCGCCTTGTGCTTGGCTCGAGACTTTACAGGACATGGCTCGCAACCGACACCAGTGGCGTGTCTGCTGCCGTCTTCTAATTGGATTGCCTGTTTAAAGTATGTTTGGTGCTGAGTTATCTGCGGGGTAATGGCTGATTATGACGCGTGGCAGTGAAAGCCGCAAGGAAGCTGTCTCGCCGATGCCGCCTTATCTTTGCACGATAGCCAGCTGTTTGTGACGGTATGCTGCCTACACAAGGTGTAGGCGCCTTGACCCTGAATGTTTGCTTAGGGCATTAAGGTTTTCATGTAAGTCAATCTTCTCTCTCTCTTATTCTTTATTTCATAGGTCCACATGGTTGTATGGCAGCGAAGCATCAGTTCAAATGGCTGATGTACTGCTGTTGATGATTTTGATGATGTTGCTTAGGCGGTAAGAGTTAGCAGGCTTCTTAGCGCAATGACAGATGACTTCGCGAAATAAAAAATAGCTAGAGAACTTCCGTGTTTTCTCTTCAATGCCCCATCCAGATATGGTTGACGCAGCGCTGACACCACTGATCAAAGATACTCTGTCTCATGGTGTCTGTGACCCACCATCGACCAGTCCATGCGCTAACATTACTGGCGTTTGGTTGTTGTATGCCCTCCTCTTGACCTTCGATTTGGCGTCGCACATTCTCTTTGGCTTATATTGAAACTATAAAAAATCACCCTGGTCTTGTCGATGTTCCTTTGGTTCTTTAGTCGCCTAAGGTGATACGGCCACTAAAGTACGTGAACCGATTAACCACATTGAGCCACTGTACCTTATTGGTTTATACTGATGTTATGTCGGCCCTTTATTTAACGGATTGCTAGCACTTTGGAGGTGCGCGATTAACACGTACTGTGGAATCTTTGGTCAGTCACCTTTCCTGGTATCACTATTGTTCGGCCCACCTATGTTCTCCGAATTCTGAAAAGTTGCTTCGACCTGTCATTCGTTAAGGGCCTTCTGTTGTTATTGCATCTAACGATCTCCTGGCTCTATCACTGTTTCATCGCTGATTTAGAACAGATCTTTCCCGAATTCCTGGTTGATCTTTTTCTTTCATTATGGTACATAAACCTTAGTGGCATGGTACGTGTTATATTTGTTTGCTTTTTTCGCGCCTGCAATTCACACTTCCGCACCACGGCATCTGCCGGAGCTTCGTCCATCAACTCAGCTGCTTGTTCTTTCCACCCTCACGTGTGACTGGCTTTATTTTCTCTTGTAGTTGTGCCATTACACTTCATTTTCCATCACCGAATTTTCCAGGTAAACACACAGCAAATGTCCGTAGCACTGGGTCAGATTGAGTTGGAAGGTCGCCGCGTCCCTCTCATGCTGAGTGGCCGCACTTTACCATCCTTTCCGATGTACGACATCCGTCCGAGAGCCGGTGGAATGTGCACACATCGTTTCCTAACCGCACTGCCCCCACAAGAATTATTTTTTCACTCTATGGCGGGCCGAGATGGTCTAGTCGATACTGCCGTAAAAACCAGTCGTTCTGGTTACCTTCAACGCTCGGCTGTCAAACATTTAGAGGTTGGTTTCACGCTTTTGCTGCGCGTTCGATTTCTGCTTATTTCCAAAATATTCATATGTCTGGTTTTCTTGCAACACATTGATAAGCATGTATTTTGGTTTCTTAGACCTTTGATACAGGATTTGTAAACGTTGCCGACACTATTTCACTCACACCTTGGCGGTTGACTCTTACGCAGTCATTAGCTAATGTCGTTGAACTGTACTGTAAATGCTATTTGCTGACATAAATGTAATCTCTGTGATCTTGTTCACGGTTTGATACTTTTACTTGTTTTGTTCACTTTAGGATTTAAGTATTCAGTACGATGGGACTGTCCGTGACTCCGGCCAGAACGTCGTTCAGTTTCGGTATGGGGATGACGGCGTTGACGTGTGCCAAGCGAGCTTTCTCCAGCCTTCTGGCTTGCATTTATTTGCTGATAATGCTGCCGTGTTAGCTATGCGGTGGCGCTCGTTTCATCAGACTGAAAACTCTTCTACTTATCAACAGCTTCATCAAGTTTCTTTACCGAGGCCATTGCAAATCATAGCTGATCAAGTAGGAACTCAGCGTCAGTTGGTGAGTGTTTCTTTAGAGAAAGCATTCATCACTGTTTGGTACCAACCCGCCGTTAATCTGTTTCTCTTTGGGGAACTTTTGTTGAACTAGAATTTTCTCGGTATCCTTACAGTTGTCTTCGCACTTGTCTTCTTGACTACAACTCGGTCACTTTATCGCTACCCACTTGAGGCACAGAGGAACTTTGTTGAAAAAAGAGCTAAGGCACTGAGCGAAGTTGGCCTCAATTACTCCCCTCAGATAACTCCGGTTGGCGTCTCTAGGAGGGGGCTTTCTCGAAAATTCCTCCTTATCCTTCTATTGCTCCCCTTCCTCTATCATGGTGCACCACAGAACTATCTTTGAATTAGCAGACATGCTTGAAGATATTGGGGGATTGGTCATTTAAACTTTCGCTTGGCCACCCAAGAAGACCTGAGGCGCGATCTTCGAGATGCCCATTTCAATCTTTGCCCCTTTGTCCACTCGCTTACTGAGAATAGTTGCCATTTATAACCCTTTTCGTCACGGATTTGGCCGGTTGTTATTTTTGCTTCATGCAATAGGTGGCTTGTCCACAGTAGCTCTTGCGCTCCTAGAGGTTTGTCCTATTTACTTTTCGACCTATGCACGCGCGAATCTTTTCCTCGTGTTATTTTAGCAAAAGTAGCAACTTCAACATCTCGATTTGTGCAGACTTTCGTTCCTTTTTTCAGCTGTTATTAAAAGCGCCGTCACAAAGCAAAATTACCAAGATGTTTAGAAAATATCGTCTTGTTCAGAACCGGTTGTCTGAAAATTCGGAACACCTGAATCATTTGTCCCGAAGCGAATTGCTCAATGCCGAATTACCAGACCCTCCTTGTGACGTGGCCGCAGCACTTCGTGAACTTTGTGTGGCCAAACTGATTAGCGCTCAGGCGCCACCCGGTGAGCCTGTTGGATTGCTTGCTGCTCAGTCAGTAGGGGAACCGTCCACGCAGATGACTTTAAATACTTTCCATTTTGCTGGGCGTGGTGAAATGAACGTCACCTTGGGGATTCCTCGAATGCGAGAGATTCTAATGTCAGGATCCGCGAGTATCAGCACCCCTTGTATTGAGGTACCTGTTCGGCCCACTATCGAGGCCCATCGGGGTTGCTTCAGACTTGCCAAGCGTTTTTACAGGCTCAAACTCACTGAGGTACGTTCTAGTAATAGAATTTTACCTTTGATTAGCATTACGGTTGCTGTTTTCTTTTGTACCTCATTACACATCTAACCCAGTCAAGATTACTCCCACCGGTGCACAGTGACAGCTAACCTCATGTCATCATGCCGGTCCACCGACTCCCCTGACGTACGTTGTTTGCGCCTTGGGGGGGGGGGCGGATAAAAGAGGAAAAGGGTGGCCAAGCGACGACTTGGTCAAGTGGAATGAGGGCTCTTACTTCGGTACCCTGGTTGGGGTCCGAAATACCATGAACACGTTTTGGCTGGATACACTTGTTGACATGGCTTAGAGCCGACCTCAATGGCGTTTGTGTTGTGTCTCTTTGTCCCTCCCCTTCCAACCACGATCTCATTTATTAGGCACCTTATAGCTCCCTTTTTGTGACACAATAGCCGGCTGTTAGCTCTCCGGAAGGATGTCTAGCCGTTAGTGGGGACTCAGCCGGGGTGCTACTATTAACTTTTTTTTCTTTTGTATTACGGCATAATAGCCGAGGTCTCTTCCACCTGCAGCTAACATCTATACTGTTGAACTGTCATCCTAAACGGGTGGGTTCTTGGGAGATTGTTGTCGTCTTCTCTCCAACTCCCAATCCGAAGGACGTCTAGTGTGATCCATTAAGCAGTGGCTATGATTGAGTTCTGAATGTATTTCACAAGCTAACAAATTATATCTACCGGTTAATGGCGTCTGGATTGTAATCCACTGGTGTCACCCATTAGCGCCTACATTAGGTCGAGTGACTTCGCATTATCACAGCCCTGTCGTGACCCTTGCTTGTCATGCGGGGCAGTGAAGTGCATGCACAACGTTCCGGCTTACTACCTTAACTAAACCCACCAGTATCCCAAAAGGTCTTATGCCGGTACTTTCTACTTGTACTTCGCTTTCATGCAATCACAATGTGCCGGCTATCCAGACGGATGACGTTGGACGAGGGCTGCTCCTAAGCTTAAATACCTAGAACATATATTGGTGATCAAGATGCATGTACCTTTCCAACTAGTGTGTGTGTGTGATTCAGGGTTATCAGTGATTGATCGCAATGTGAAACAGTGAAATGTTAACGTTGACTTGCTGTTTATATGCTCCCGACCGCATTGGCGCCAGCCGCTCACTCACATACAAAAATTTGTACTTTGGCTCACGTCAACGCAATTTACTTTCCTGTTCTTTGGTCACCTTCACAAAGTGGCCTGTGTCACTGTTTACCTAGAATCACCAGGTGTTGGTGCTTAAATCTGTCTGTTTCTCCTAATCAGGTAATTCGTTTGCCTTTAAATGAGGCGATCGATTACGCATCCGATTCATACACTCTAGAATTTCAACTCGAACCACCATCCGCCTATTCCGATCGAAGTTACTTTCGTCCCGCCAAAGTACTCCGCTTTCTGGAACGCATATTCTTTCCTGATTTTGCCAAGCGTTTGGATCGGGAATTGAAGGATCAGGGAAAAACTACGTAAGTAGACTGCTGAGTTTGCTGCATCCCGCGTATGAATTTGGTCGTAAAATGATGCACTTAAGCTATCCCACTATATTCTATTACTCTGGCCATAATTACTCAGACTTAATCTCACAAGAAACCACCGATTTCTTTAGTCATCGCGATGGGACTTTGATGTGTAGTTTGCGTGCCCCGTTACCTCTTCCCTGAAGCGTGTTCATGAGCGACAACCATGGACCAGCTACATTGTTGGTTCGATTGGCTCAAGGATGGGTGAGTGGGTTGCGTCTGACTGGTTCACTATCCCTCAAGCCAGGCATCTCATTGTGGGGCACTACTAATGTATAGTGTGTGTGTGTGTGTGTGGAAACGAAGAGCGCAAGGAAATCAGTGAATTCGTAAATCGCCGCGGATGGAAGAAGTGTGGTACACAAATCAACAAAATGAAGAACGCGTGGTGCAGGAATCTACCTCCACCAATACGTTGTGCGTTAAGGGGCACAGGGGAACGGATAGTGGGAAGGGTACCACTAAGTAACCACGCAAATGAGCCTGAGTCTCCATTCGAGCTGTCATAATATATATACGTGGGTCTTACGATGTATGACGTTGGCACCGCGTTGCGTTCTCAACGTGACCACGACGGTGTGCATCGAATAAAATTCAACTGTGCTTGATAATGCTCACGAGCATTTTGCAGGTTCTCGTCTGGAGACGGGCGTCTTTTGTCTTAAACCTGCTACATGTGGCTGACCCCATTCGTCTCGTCTCGGAACTTCAGTCACCACCCCGCAGGGGATTTGTTGCTCACTGCCTTATAGGTCTGACTGTTAGGTTAAGAAGTAGGGCCTTTGAACCTCGAATAAAACTCACTTGTCGGAATGGGCAGGCGGACAGTGTCATACGATCATTGAAATATGGTGTCAGAACCCGTTTTTCCCTCTCTCTTAAGTCTTTTATCCCAAGCTTAACGAGTTATAGGTCGCTGTGTACTTCATATCCAAGGCTGAAGATTCATCTGTTGTTTTTCGCACTAGATTTGAGATTTCTCGGCAACTATTCTTCCCCCTACTGATTTCGAGTAATTCATTTAACTTCATGGCCTAGCAACTAATATTTTGCGTCTTTGGCTCCTATTTCCTTGACAGTGGCTAATTTTCCTCCCTGTATCTTTACGGACTTATTCCCTCATCGTATTCGGGGGTTGATATCTCGCCAGGAGAAACCACAAGAGCAATTTAATCGGCTGTGTCTCGGTGAATAGCCGCAAGTGATCTGACTGAGCTTGAAACTTTCTCACAATTAGTTTGCGGCGCCTGAAGATAAGGTGCCTTTCTGTGGTTTCCCTCTATGCCGTCACTAACGACAGTTCGAATTTATCAGAGACGAACGAGTAACTGTCATCCCGCCTGATTCAGCGGATATACTTGATAAAATGACCAGCGTCTCGATGGCCGAACACGGGCACAGTTTATAAGTTAAATCGCCGTACTGCTAATGAAAATCTGGATTTCCAACTATTAGCGGGTGATTTTATGTGTATGTGCTACTCCATTTTTTCACCACAAACTTTCTCATCGCATTATCTGGCGTCCTGTGAGTGAGTGAGAGCAGAATTTCGCATTTTGCCATCAGCTACAAATGCAGCATGTCTGCACAGGTTAGTGTGGAGTACATACCTGGATTCCTGTCATATCTTGTAATGCACCCTTACTTTCCTGGCGTTATCAGAATGTAAACTTTGGGATTGCTTATCTGTAGCTTGAACTCACAAGCGACCAGACAAGTCTATTAACCCCACTTGGAACATCGGCTATCACCAGTGAAGGAGTGCCACTTGGGGCCGTGTCGCATGTGTACTGTTACATGCAGTTGGTGAGTAGTATGGTTATTTATCAGGTTTTTGGTGAAGATTCGTCGCAGCTAAACTCAGGCAGACAGCCACCACACATCCAGGAAAGCGCTTTCCTGCCTGAGTCTAGCGACGACGAATCTTCACCAAAATGATGCGGACACTAGAATTCACTTGACATGTCCCAAATACCGATGAGTTGATGTACAGAGCACTTTGTTTGAAGCACGGAATACGTTTCCACCGGGTAGTCAATTTCAGAACGTCCGTAACCCTCTTAAATTGGAACGTTGTTCGCTGACAAAGGCCCAACAGATAGGAACAACTGAGTATTATTTTACCGCAACCAAATTTTCACATCGAAGAGCTTTTAGGAAATGACCCGATGTTCCGTTCTTTGACCCACTGACTTGAATTCTATAGAGGATGCATCGGATGACTGTTGTTTTTCGAATTATTTGAACATTGCACTTTCTAAAACCAGTTACATGAAACATCGCCTTTAAGACCAATCAATACCTCTGCACACGACGCTCTCATTCAACCATTGCTAAATGACGATGGATGCTCGTGTGTGACTGTTATTGTCATTATGATTAATACCGCTCGGCACACTAATCAGCTTCGCTCGTTTGCCGTCATACTTATTTGTGTGAATGACCAGTGAACGTCACGCTAAAAACTTCAATGGATTAGCCCCTGTTCATTCGTTATCGTAAATTTAAACACAGCGGAAGCTTGGTAGGTCAGCTTCTCGGTTTACTATCCGCTTCCCATGCATTTACTGTTTATTCGGCACTGGGACAGTTTGCCTCACACGGAAAACCTGCCATGTTAATATTTGTAGTTACGAAAGTACTCTTGCAGTCGGTGTTGGGAGGAGCAACACCGAAGTAACTTTGCATGCTGTTCTTTTTTCTTCTCTTATTATCATTGACTGTTGTTTATACGAGCATCAGGGTATCATTTTGCTTGTTTGCACTTTCTGCGAGACGACTGCGGAAGCTGATCTGTGGTGTCGATAAGGTCTCTTCTGGGCGCCCTCGAGATTTGGAATTTGCCAGGGTAACTCCATTCTCTTATCCACCGCATTCGATTGGCTTCTTCGTAACCGACTGGTCGACCTGACCACACATACCGCACACCTTGCTTGAGCTCAAATCTAGTCTTCGTACAAGCTTCACTGAATGGACTGACACACGCTTCGTCATATACTTCGCAACTTTAGTGAGAGCCGCAACTTCCAAACTGGGATGGCTCTCACAATAACCGAGTGTTCACTCGAAGCGGTTAATGGTCTCACCTATCAGCAGTTTATTTGGGTACGCGTTTCATTAAGCCACCCATGAGTTCCAGGACATCGGAACAATAACCCATAGATCACGGACAGAGTATACAATACTTCAATGCTATAACTGTTACGGTATGTATCAGAAACATGAGCACTAGGAATTGTATGTCTTGCGATGAGTCTTTTTTTATCGCCGGTACTGGCGTAGGATCGACGACATCTGATGCGTGCGCTAGTTATGCAGTATCGAATGTCACCGACTTGTGTTTCACACCATACTGCCCATTGTCACATCGGATCTCTTGTTGGTTACTTCATGGCCTTCGCAAACCCGTTCACTGTTTGCTTTTACCGCATGTCGTGGGATGAACTCGCGAGGCGGCCAACTAACCATATAAAAAATGAATAACTGAAGATTTTGTTCCTGTTAGTGGTTACCGTCTTTTTGCATCAGGCCTTCGGTTTGGGCACATCGGTGGAACCTGACGCACTGTTGCATTCAGTCTCTTAATCCGCTGATCCCATTATAATTGATCAACTTCTTTTCTGATCCTTCCCTAATTCTCCTTTCATTTGTCGTGTTCCTCCTCCATCTGTTGCTTGTTGTTATCGAGACGACTCGTTCTTGTCAACCGGACTCGGATTTGTGAATTGGATGTCGTTCGTCATTCGCCGAGACCAACACACATCAGTTCACATTTGAGGTTTTGCGCGAGGCTGTTTTTGTCGCCACTGATGTTCGATTGCCTAAATTCCGTTTCACTCGCCGTGTCTGCATTACTTAGCGGTAATTTTCTTGCTCCCGCAATTTTTGATTGCAGTATTCAGTTTACTGCATCGATTAAATTTTTTACTATCCAAGAATTGTACGGCTGTGTAAGCTATCACCGATTCAAGCTCAATACGTGCCCTTTCCTGCCTTTGTCCCACAGTTGCTTTCGTTTCCGCATTCTCTTTTCACCGTGATGGTTTCGTTTTCACTTCGCAGTCTCATTCGCAGCTTCGCCTTGTCCGCTCTAGCACGCCAACAAAAGTTAGGTGCAGCTGACGGATCGGCTGACCCCTTGAATGATGAGGATAGGGCTGGTGCGGAACGCGATGCTGGAGGCCGCACTCAGACAGTCCGCGCGTGTGATGAATGGAACGAAGACGACGGACATGAGGTAATTGTTCCTCTTCCTTCTTCAGAATCTAGCCACTTACCGACTGCGTCGTTTTTCACTTCTTTTTTTACTGTGACAGCGGTGCTCTTGTGGCTCGGCTTGTCATCTATTTCTACAGCATCTGAATCAGTGGATAAAGTTGCGGGTTTGTACCCTGATAGTGCAACGAAAACGAAGTATAACCTTTAAAAACGATGGAAATCGATAAAAACACAGTGTGAAGTGACGTGCGTACTTAATCGTAACACCTTGTGCATTGAATTACACTGTTGCACACCTGTCTTCTATAGTCCGTTTCTCCTATCTAGACATGCTGTGTGATCCCTGAGGTATCTAGTCCTTTCGAAGCTTTTCCATTGCGTGTGTGCCCTATTCTAATACACAATGCTTTTTTTGTCATCTGCCTCTACAGTGTCTCCTATGCACTTCGCTACGCATATAGCAGTGCTCTTGCCCATCGGTCAGTGTGGGAATTTTTCAATTGTCTCGATGTAGTCTTTCCCACGTATTTCTCTCGGTTCTAGCTATCCTCCACATCAGACAACATTTTACCTGCAGTTGGCATTATTTTGCATCCCTGCGAATGCGTGTGGATTGAGGAGGTGGTGCCTCCTGAGCTGAAGGGTGCCCTTGTGCTACCACTGTACAAGGGCAAAGGAAACAAGCAATGTGCCAAGAATTATTTTGGTGTCAACTTGCTGAGTTGTGTGGACAGGGTGATTGCCCGAATCCTACTCGACCGCCTCGTTAGTCAGGTTGTGGAACCTAACGTGGCAGAAAAACAGTGTGGATTCCGTTCGGGTCGCAGCACCATAGATGTGGTGTTTGCGGCTCGTTAGTTGCAGGGGCAAATGCAGAGAGCGACACCAGCCGTTGTACTCGCCTTTAGTTGATTTCACCAAGGCATCTAATACGGCGAACCGCGAGGCATTGTAGCTGGTGTTGGGTAAGTTTGGCTGTCAGAGTACGTAAATTTAATTGAATGGCTGCACAGTGGTATGCAAGCGACGGTGCAGCTGAGTGGAGAGACCACGGATGACTTTCCACTTGTCTCTGGTGTGAAGCAAGGCTGTGTCTTAGCTACTGCCCTGTTTGATAAGTATCTTCATCCAATGATGTCTTGTGCTTTTGTTGCGACTTGTGCTTACGGCATTCTTGTGGATCATCATATCCATTGTGGGTTGCTGAACATCCATCGTTTCGGTGCGAGAACTCTATTCTGTGGGACAGCTATCCGTATGTTGCTGTTTGCTGACGAATGTGCGTTGTTTTCACACAGCGCGGATGAGTTGCAGCATATAACTAATTCTCTGGCTTCGACAGCGGCCAAATTCGGGCTCACCATGAACAAAAGAAAGACTGTTTGTCTTTTCCAGCCTTCAACCGGAATGGATACCGTGGGCCTGCCCCAAATCCCGATTGCCGACAAAATGTTGGAAATCGCTTCGACATTTTGCTACTTTGCTAGCGTAATAACAACCGACCAGGCAGATGACGTGCGAGCTGCGCAGCCGCTGCATTTGACAAGCTGGAATGCTGTGTGTGGAACAACCACCTGCTCATTGTTGGGACGAAGCTGCTGGTATAAAAGTCTGTCCGTTCTTCTATGCGGCAGCAAAATCTCAACACTTTATAGGAAGGATGCCCGTTATCTGGAGCGCTTCCATCAGCATTGTCTGCACCGTATTATGCGCATCGGCTGTAGTGACCGAGCTGCAGACACGGAGGTGCTTCGATGCATTGGATTATATGCATTGGACTGCATAATTTTCCTGAGGTGGTTCGGGCATATTTGCCGCATAGATTCAACTCGAATGCCGAAACAGCTGATTTATGGCCAACTGAGTGCAGGGAAACGGCACGTGGGAAAACCGAAGTTACGATACCAGGACATGATCAAAGTGAGCCTATCACGTTCTAGTCTTGCTTGCAGGTCATGGGGAATCGAAGGCGATTGATCGGCGTGCATGGCGCGACCTAATCACGAAGGCTGTTGCCGAAGTTTAAGAGAAAGCCCTCGTATATGCAGAGAATCGGTAATTGCGGAAGCGATAGGCGCCGCTGGGCTGTATTCCATCGACGTCGAACGCATGGTGCCGTAGCACATGCGGTCGCAAATGCCTGAGTCAGGCAGGCCCAGTGAGGCACGAGCCAGTCCACGCAGGACCAGCATCGAAACGACGACGAGTCTTGCCGAGAAGGTAAGCAGAACCGGCGCAGCGTTACTAGGTACGCTGCACTCAATATATTAACCGTGTACTTGCTTGCTGAGTTGCTTTATTTCAATTGCTTGGTTTGCTTATTCTCGTGTCTTACGTTATTTTGTGACCTCGCATTAATGTGTGCCTGAATAGTCTATTAAATAGCACATTTCGCTTAAACTAGGTGGTTAACTTCCATTATTTTTTCTTCTTACGTGTGTGTCTTGATCCCTTTTACTGCCATCCTAAATCTATCACGGCTGTTTTGATTATCCATTTGTCTCATATACTAATTTAGCGGCATATCCGTACGAGGTATTCGATCTGTATCAATTCATTACATTTCATTTGATGTGATTGGCTGTTGCTTGATATCCCCGGTGTGGCTGCGCTTGATGTAAATGCTGACAAGGCGCTTACCTGTCTATTACCCACTACTTCGTCCATACTGGCTCCAGGCGACAGTTGGTCGTTGCTGCAGGGGACGGGTTTCACGGTCCTTGTGACCGTGTTAAGCTCGAAGAGTGGTTCCATTCAATCTGTCTAGCGGACCACGGTCCAGCCACCGCATTGTGTGCGAATGAGTCCCAGATACAGCGCGCTTGTGTTTGCCTGTGAAGGAGTGTGGGCCGGCCCTGTTTGATGAAACGTGGCTCCCATCCACATGCCTCCCTGTCTTATACCTTCGGGTTTCCACTGCATATGGGGTTTGTGGACGGAGCTGTGGGTGGTGCAGCGCAAGCCCCCCATGGTCCATCTGTAGGCGCAGGCGTCCTGTGGCTGGCCACAGTGACAGGTAAATCCGAAACCGGATGCCTCCAACCATTTTGCTATAGACTTGTGTATGCATTAAGCCTCTCTGGAGATGGTATTTATACAATTAATTTGGTGTGATTTAGTGCGGAGCATTTTTCACCTTCATATATTTATTGTGTGGCCGAAATCGTGCAACCACTGCGCTGAGTCATCCTAGGTGTTGATGATCACTGCACTTGTCATCACCTCTGCTGAGCGGCTGCATCTTGCAACAAGACACATGTAGTGCACTGCCCGCGTACGAGTGTACGATAGAGTCGCGTAACCACCACCAATTTGCGATTCAAAGACGGCTGACAGCTTTTGGTTATATTATGGATAATCAACTTTGGCAACCGATAACATTTTGACTCCGGTCGTACTCCACGAAGAGATCAGTTGGTTGTCACCAAGGCCGACATTTGGCGACTGGTTCTTCGTGCTGATCATTTTGTAGCGTAATTTTTGAGTGCACTGCGTTCTTCCCGCAATTGTAGATTCGCCAAATATGTAATATTTCTCCAATCTGGCGTATTCAGTTCCTCCGTATTCAAAATAGTTGACTGTTGTATTAGACCCTTGGAGTTGCAACACCAAATAAATCTCTCATAGATGGCTGGATGTTCATATCGCAATCATCTAGTAAGAGGCTTATTTAAGGAATACAGAGAGGGAAAAACGAAAGAGACTAAGGACAAATTGTGCCTGAGATAAGCGAAAAGCTAAGAGTTGTCCCTGTGGTCTGTGATCGAAATGGTAAAACATCTGCCTTGCAATTCGGAGGTTGCGGATTTGATTCTTTATAGGACACCGGGCAACCCTCACTGTATTTCTATCCCACGCGCGACTGGTGGTGGTTGCAGGGCATCAAAACGTCGATACGACGTACTGTCGTACTGCTGATGCCTTTGAACACCTGCCAATTATTTTCCGAGATGCCCTGCACTTAGCGGATGCACGTGTTTGGATAAATCCCCAAGGCAACCGCGCGGGGATGTGTGTGGATTCAGGAAGCTACTTAGAGATCTGAGCGCCTGAGATGATTGTGCCCTTTCATTTGCTCTGATAGTTGCCACACCCTAGCGCTCTTTTCTTAATTTTTTCTCCTTACTGGTTACATCTTACTTTCGCTGAGTTTCGTGACTTAAGTTTAGGTCAAAATTTACGGCCAACCAGGTTAGTAGAAATTTCTTGTCATTAACCTCTATCATTTCATACTCCGTACTTACACTACAGCAATGTCGCCTTTCTTCGTGTGAGAAACATTTCATCCATTTTCTTTTGAATTCACCCTCAGGCTGTGCGACGTCGTCGATTGGAGACAGAGGCCGAGGAGGATGGTATGCTCGGACGTAGTCAACCCATCGATCTGGACGACCTTGTCGATCTAGTTGTCGACGATGACGATGAAGCTGCTGAACTGCGTGAACTAGGTGTCGATCCGGACAAAGCAGATAAAGATGCTGACGAAGCTTCTGACCACGAAGATCCCGATTCAGGTCCGCATGGTGCGGATAAGGGGAGCAAGAAATCAAGACGAAATACGAAGACGAATGTTCTCGGTTCCGTTGATGAGGTAGAAATTGATGGCCCCTCGCATGATTACGCCGAGGCAGATCTTGACGAAGTTGTGTCGCATAGCCAATCGGATGCGGAAGTGAACTCAAATGATGAAAATGTGGATGAATTTGAAATTGAAAGTCGCCAAACGGTATGATCATTGCTCATCCTGCTGTTTTGGCAGCAGCAGTAGTTCGTTCTGCTTGTTCGCTTCAATTCTACTTCAGATGGTTATTTTTTTGCTCCACTTCAAACCGCACACTTATGCGTCGCTTCTGAACATAGTGAAAAGCATCAGTTTTCTGCCTGAGTCTTACTGACGCCTTCCTACCCTGGGACCGTCGGCAGCCGTGTGTGGATTAGGGATACCGCGAATTCACCCGACCCTGCGCAGTCTCGAATAGCTGACCTGTGGGTTGCATGCCAGACATCTGTGTCGTTACTCTTTATCTTTTAACTTCATTCTCCATGATCAGACGCTAGTACCCGGTTTCGCAAGAGTAGTTGCTTGCCTCATTTCATTTGAACGTTGGACGTCAGGCCCTTTAATTACTTTTTTAGCGCTCCAGTGCTGAAGCTTTTCCCTGATTTTTCATTATTCTGATACATTGTTGATACTTCCTTTGCTCTTTGGAGTTTCCGGACCAAAACGATTTTCGCTCTGTTGGGGGTCATTTTTGAAGTACACGTTGTGTGGATGGATTGCTACGCGCAATCACACTGTTGACCGCGATTCCCATTGAGGTAAACCTTGGTCTTTCCATCACCAGGACCGTAGCCGATGCAAATACAAATTGGGTGTTGCCCACCCGCAAACATTGCAGTATTTTCGGGCGGGTAACACCCAATTTCTATTTTCGCTCTGTTCACCCGGTTGTCATCTTATGTTTACTTGCTTTCCGCATCCCTAACCGCTTCATTTCGACTTGTGATTCGGGGTTTCTTAAGCATACACTTCTGTCTCTTCCTACCAACTTTGTGGATGAGTTTGTTTTAAGCTCCACAGGGCCTATCTGTCAACAATGTGTTTTTGTATCACCCTCACCACTTTCTTCAGAATGCTTATGTGTCGATTGCCTCATTTCCGCTAATTATTCTTCCACGTGGATGATGGTTGGGTGAGCCACATGCCGATCAGTGACATTGTGAGCTCCCCGAATTATTCCATCTACCGTCACTGTTACCAATTCAATGATTGTTGGTCTCTGTGACCTCTATGCTCCTCCTCTCGCCATGAGCGCCCAATAGGTATGTGATTCTAGATCAGACTTCGGCACCTACTTATTGTGCGCTTCTCTTTGATTTTCCCTTCTCAATCCGTTTCCATTTCTTACGGGCTCACCTGGGTCTCATGTTGCACGCAATAACCTCGCTGCTTGTGGTTTATTTTGTTAACTCAGACGCGTCCACTGTGTTTTTCTGCTTGCTATATTTGCCTGTTATGCACTAAGAAATAGCTCCTTAAAATTACCTTGTTCGACTGAGTCCTTTATCGTCGAACAATTGACTATCCTTTCGGACTCCTCATCGCTCTTTAAACTAGTCTTCGGAACCGAATACTAATGCATTACTGATTACAGGTAGTTCACTACAACCTACCAGCTTTGCGACTTTGATAACTCCATACCTTCCAAACAGCTCTTCTCCCCATTCATGCAGTTAGTCTATGCGTTTGTATGTCATTAATTTCACCCCTGCTTATTTGTGCACCTCGATCAATATGTGGAGTTCTTCTCTCACTCGTGCACTTATATTTGGTAAGCATTCCATCTTCTTGCCTTTCTCTTTTTCAGTTTGTGACACGTTTGCACGCGCGGTTCAGCAAATACGAATTTGATCGAAGTGACCCACCAACTTGGGCAAGGTTAACCATCTGTGTAAGCGTCCTTTTTGTTCACGTATACCACTTAGTATACGATTGTTTGGCCGTTGCTGTTGTCTTTTGGAATGTCGTTTGTTTTACACTTTCTACTGCGGACCTATAACTTGTTGTTTTACTTGATCAGTTTTGTTTAACTGAACCATATCCTAGTTACCAATGTTTTCCTACTCTGCCGATTTTTTTGCAATCATTTCGAAGTGCTGCACTTAAAAAGCCTTTCGTCGACTACAGTCACAAAACCAGGAACACTTCAAACGGATTATGAGAAAACATTATGGCAACATGAGAAATGATCGCGCTGGTCGGATGGTTGGTCTCCGACGACGCCCTTTGTAGCAAATACACTTGCCACTCATCCTCTCCAGCAATGTGCGTACATTGCTAGAAAAATTCACAGACCTCACAGCTCTTATACAACGGAAGGAATATATAAACACAGGTATTATTATGTTACAAGAAAGCTGGTTGTGCCCTGATATTGAAGCTGGAGTCATTAGAATCAGTGGATACCGTGTGATTAGGTCCGATCGCCCAGGTGAGCCAAGGAATCGTGGTGGCAGCCTCATCACGTACGTTAAACAACCCTGGTTCAACTCAATCAATCAAGTATTCACTTACCCTACAAGATCTATAAACTGTCATTTACTTGTATGCAAGCCTACATTTCTCAGCGGCTTTCAATTCGTGGTTATCTGAAACATCTACATTGACCCTGATACATCATCGTCCGAACTGAAGCTTTTAGTATTGCTGCAGAACTTAGAATGCTCTGACTGCATTGTCGCCGGTGACTTTAATAAATGTGATACAACTTTCTCCAAGTCGCTGGCTCAGGCGAATTTAGTAAATTTCCCGACCAAACAAGACACTCAGCTTGATGTTGCTTATATAAACAAAATTCGTTTGTTTTCCATTCAAAGCGTACACCACTAAGCAACTCGGACGATTGTATACTAAAGATTTGCCCTACCATCTACAGCAAAACTAACTATGCCACATCGACTAAACGACAATTCAGGACTATCCGACGATACCATTGCTCGTTGGAAAATATCGCACAACTTCAAGCAACACTTTCTTCAACCGATTTTTTCAGTTTTTACGGATGAAGTTCTATCGCTTCAATGCAATCGTCTCACGAGTTCCGTAAACTTCTACTTCCATCTTTGTTGCCCTATCGAGACGATCTACCTGCGAGCAGATAGATTTTCTCCACCTCTACTGAAACAACTTTGGGGGAGAAAAGGACCTGCTTACAAGCTCAACATGACTACCCGAATCAAAAGCCTGACTTTAGAAATTAAAGCTCAAATAACAAGACTAAACAGTTTGTACATTGAAACGATATTGGGAAACCGTAACTGTTGGGAGGCTGTTGAAGCAAATCTGTGGTAAAAGTGCCATCGGAGGTACTGGAATTTTAGATGTTGACAAACTCAATTCTAGTTTAGTTCCTCTCCGTCGATCGCTTTTCCATTGCCCTCCTTCACTAGTTCAGGCCCAGTCATCCTATTTGTCCAAGGTAACGTCATCATGGAACTCAAAAAGCTAAACTCAAATGAAGCTTGTGTCCCTGTTGCTTTATTGCTCGTGGTTTTGAAACAGTGCGCCGAATCACTCACATTGAGCGACATTTTTAACAAGCGTCTCACAACCGTTTCCATCCCCGACATCTGGAGGTCAGCCAGAATAACGCCAATTCCTAAAAAAGAACCTCAAAGTTATCGGTCTATTGCTTGTACTTCCGTTCTCTTAAAAGTCCTTGAGAAGCTACTAGTTCCACAGATTTCTACGGCCACTTGTGCTGATGATGTCTACAACTTTGCGTTTAGACCCCAGTACTCCACGCTTGATGCTGTCTTGTACCTTGTGTATTCACTAGTCTCTACGTTGGATAAAAAGTGCAGGTCCGTACGGCTTCTATTTTGACTATTCAAATGCGTTTGGGAGTCTTGACCGATCAGATTTGCTTAAACTACTTTATTTGAACGGAGTCCACCTTAATGTTTGTAACTTTTGCCTGACTGATTGCATGCACTTTACCCAGTTAAACGGCTTACGCTCCTGTATGCTCCGCGCTGACTCTGGTGTTTTTCAATGCGTGATCCTTTCACCCATTTTATTCTTTACATACGTCGATAGTCTCCTCATACCATCAATATTCATTTGATGTAAATATGCTAGCGATGGTGTCTTGGGATGCAAATCCTCCTCTATTGAGACGTCTGCTCTCCAACGGGGTTTAGACGAACTTGTGAGTTGGTCATCAACCAGGCCCCTTAACCTTAATGCTTCGCAATGTACTGATGTAACATTTTCCTTTCTCCGCCCTGATAAATTGCGAGTAATTTTAGATGCCTCTCCTCTATTAACTTTGGAGGACAAAACAATTCCCGTCGAATACCTCGCTGTCTATTTTTCACAAAATCTTGGTTCATGCACGTTTTCGAGACCTTTTACAAGGTCAGAAGGTTTTCTTTTTATGCTTTCCGACTTAAGCAGTTCTCCCTACCGCGAAGCTTAATTTTGAGATTTGTAACTGCATGTTCACTACCCCATTGGTTGTACTGTTCCCCACTAATCTCCCGTGGAATACTGCAAAAGGACTATCTTTTGATTGTGAAATCGATTTAACATATTTCCCGATGTGGTGAATTACCTAAATTCCATAGTTGCCTTTATTGCCCCTTAGCATTTTGACGCTTGCATGAATTTTTCTCCTAGAGTACTAAGTGACCGCTCTCATCCGCTACCTAATGCTCTCTCACAAACAGTATCTGTCTTTCACACGCACTCAAAATTTAGGTTTTTCTTCACTCGCACTTCTTCCTATCGAAATACAATTTTACCTTATTTGTCACGCTTTCTTGTCGACTCCATGAAACTCAAATGCTTTTGCGCATGCGATTGCTTGGATGATATCCACATACTTTTGACTAGTTACTTCTTCAATCTGTGTTTATGTGTTTTATTATCTGGTCCCATTCATTTAGTGCATCCGCAATGATATTGTAAATGCTGATAATGCACCTATTTAGGTGTGTAAAGCCTATTTTGACTTGACTTGCTTCATTGCTGGTGAATCGTCTACAATGACCACTTCTTCCTTGTGCTATACCTGCCTCGGCTGCACAACTCAATTAGCCAAGCTTCTTCCACTGTATTCCTTCAATTTTTATGGCACTATTTCTCTAGCTCAAACTTGCAGTTCACTTGTACGCTGCAATCCATCGCGATGAGACTGGACCACAACGCGGTGCGATGGCTTGCCTACCTCAGCGATCCATTTGGCTTTGAACTTTCAGAGCCACTCACATTACTTTGGTCAGTGATTAGAGGCCATACAAATTCTGTTTCTTGGCCCTCCAGAGTGAGAGTGACTCCTTACTCCATAAAATGAACTCTGTATAGCCCAGAGCCAAAAGCCCGTCTTGCGGTCCGGTTTTTGAACCGAAGACTCTATCCGAGAACCCTAATCGTTCTCTTGTCTAGACTTGGGCAACCTGACAATATCTTGCCCGCGTAATACCACTCTATGAATTTCCCTCCACATGGTTTATTGATGCTATGGTCGTCACAGATGATAATAAACGGCGCCCTATCTGCTTCATCGATCAGGTGGATAGGGGTTTGGATGCTACTGCTCAAGCCTTCTCGTCTTCATATTCCCTCTCTTACGCTTTATCACCCTTATCCTCCCGCTCCAACTTCACTTTCATCCCCCCGTTCTACATCCCCCAATTCTTAGCCACCCCTCACCATGCTTTGATAGGCATTAATCTTCTAGTTTTAGCTCACATGCAAACGCGGAGCGTCACTCTTGTCCTCTCGACAAGCCCATGTCCAACCAAGTGGTCAAATCCAGTTCATTGGCTTCGATTTGGAGCCCTCAATCCTCCCTCAGATTAGCATGCCTCATCGTTGGGACATTGTTACAAGTCGGTCAGCAGGCATCACTTGCCCGAACATTAGAGACCCTCACGGTCGATAATTGCTGCTTATCGGTAACCCGCTTGCAAGACTTGCACTCTGCTCGATCCCCTTTCAGGTGGCACCAGTACTTTCTCATTACGCCTATCCGGAGACGATGCAGCTTCAAGTACTGGCCAAACCTGTGTTGGTATTGCCCTGAGTCACCGGGCTGAAGCTGCTCTGGTTGCTTGGATCCCAATCAGTAGCCGGATGTGGGGAGTCCGACCAGCGGGCTCGTTCAAAGCTTAGAAGTCGCGCGGGACTATTACATGTCTGTTCGTTGTCGCTGCCTTCGCCCCCACAAACCGTAGCGATGACTGGGTAAAAGACGACTTTTATCCCCAACCAAACAAGCTCCTTCGCCACAAAAGAAGTACGGACATTGTAGTTCTGGCTTGGGAACTGAATGCCCGAGTTGGAAAATTTCCAACTGATGAGCTGCATCTGAGTGACAAGCATGGTGTGTCCTCCCGTAATGATAATAGTGAGTGGTTACTTCACTTGTGTGAAGACATCTCCTTATTTCTTTCGATCATTAACTCCTGACACAGCACTCGCCGGAGGGTGGTATGGCGCCCACCAGCCATAGATGTAAATCGATCCCGTTGCGATCAGTTACCGTTGGAGATGCTGCGTCCAAAACTATCGCTCGATTTGGAGCACGTGTGGACACCGACCATACACTTGTATGCGTTGGTGCGTTTTGGCGATCTCGCTCGGCGACCCTGTGTGTGCATGGACACTAGCCAACTGACAAAGTCAGATGTTTTGAATGCGTGTCGAAGTACGCTGGCATTCGGACCGAGCAAGCGCTCACTGAATACAGTTGAAGGTTACTGGTCACCTGTTCACCAGACCTTACCAACAGCAGGCAAATCTTCATGTGATAAGTCTAATGGGCAATGGGTATCTTCGCAGTCTTCGGAACTTATCGATGCTCGCTGGCACATTCCGGCTGGAGGCGAACACCTTTAGACTCGCAGAAACCTCCGGGCAAAACTCCGTGCTAGCCTGAAGGGAGACCGCGAATCCTGGTGGTCTCATCACGCGTCAGAGATGAAAATGGCCGCTGCCCTTGGTAAGCATCGGAAGTTATTCCGTCTAATACGAGACAAGGGCAGCTGGAAACCTGGTTTTAGTGATTCCATACGCGGCAAGAGTGGAGAGCGGATCCATGGCTTGCCAAAGCGCCTGGAGCGTTAGGCTGAACACTTTGAATGACAATTTGATCAGCCGGAATTGTTAGATTCCCCATCAGCCAGTGATCGCCCCGCTCCCTGGGCTGTCCCTTTGGATCCGCCCTCGCTCAGAAGTTGAACGCGAGATCGGATAGCTGAAGTTGAATAAAACCGGGGGACCAGATGATCTTCATCCAGCCCTCTTCAAATTCGGGGACCTGCTCTTCTTGCTGATTTGCGCGAATTACTAATGAAACTGTGGAGCAGTAAACTGTCCCAACCGAGTGAAGCCGCTCTGTTATTGTCCCGACCTTCAAACAAGGCTCGCGTTCTGAATGCGGAAACCACAGAGGAATCAGTCTGATCGCCTCCAAAGTACTTGCCTCCGTCATGCTTCACAAACTGCCTGGCGATCGTGAAAGCCAGATTCGTGAGGAGCAGGCCGGGTTTCGTCGTGCTCGGGGATACATCGACCACATCTTTACTTTGCGTCAGTTGTTGGAGCACCGTCACGTACATTGGCGGCCCATTGTTGTCGTGTTCCTCGATATCAAAAGTGGATCGACGTGCTCTTTGTGACTGTCTGCTGAGTAAAAACTGTGTCCTAGAATTATCTAATCATTGTCCGAGCGCTCTACGCCTGTTGCTGGGGTAGAGTGAGGGTTTACGGCGACCTATCGCCACCCTTCAATATCTCCAGCGGTGTAAGACAAGGATGCCCACTGTCACTTTTCCTCTTGTACTTCGCTATTAACAAAGCCATGGATATCGCGTTTACGGGACATAACTTAGAAGGTGTGGAGCTGCTCCCAGTCGAACGATATTGCCCTCATCTGTGACAATGCACAAACCTGCCAATCTTCACAGGGTAGATTAGCGCTGGCTGTCAGTCGTTTCGGGTTTTGCTTTGCACCCTTAAAGTACAAAGCCTCCTTCCAAGATTGGCCTGGACCGCCTCCTGCGCTGACCCTTGGTGAAGAACAGCTAGAAGTCGTTCAAAGATTCAACTACCTGGGCACTTGTATAAGCGCCTATGAAATCGAAGATGAAGTCACAGACCGTATAACAAAATCACGTGGCGCTTTTGCTAACCTTCGCCACCTATGGCTCCAGCGCGTCATCATTCTCTCTCTCTCTCTCTCTCTCTCTCTGAAGGACAGAGTTCACAATGCAGCCCTATCTTCGACCTTACTGTACGGTCGTGAAACCTGGCCCATTAGATCAGTAGACATAAAGTGGCTTGTTGTGTTTGACCACCTGTGCTTTCGCATTTCTGTCCATATCTGACCTTGCTCGACGCCTTCTTTATGGCACATGAGGAAATGAACCGCTCAACACCATTATTTCACGCATCAAGCTCCATTGGCAGGGTCACATGTTGCGATTGCCAGCACACCGACTCCCGCGACGTGCGTTGTTTGTTTCTTGGGGGTGTGGATGGAAGTAGGAATGAGGTAGCCAAACGATGACTTGGTCAAGAGGAATGAAGGCCCTTACTTCGAAGTTGCCCTTGATTGGAGCCTCTCGGTTCCCTGGTTGAAGACCGAAAGACGATGAACACGTTTGGCCGGATACACCTGCTGACATGGCTACGAGTCGGTCTCAGTGGTGTTTGTGTTTTGAGTTTCTTTTCCCTTTCCCTCCAACCACCATTTCACTTCCTAGCATTTTATAAATTTTGCATAATATATTTTTTTCCGGCACGATACTGGCTGGTGTCTTTCAGGAACAATACCCATCCGTTACTGGTGGCTCAGCTATCGTGCCTCGGTTGCAGGTCTTTTTTAATTGCGGTACAAAAACTGGGGTGTTTTCCACTGGTAGCGAATGTGTATAGTGATCAGGATGTACGCTGCAATCCTTTCAAAATGCTAAATGCACTGTCAATCCATATTCTCATGCGTGACCCATGGGTTGTGCCATCTCACTTATTTCAGATGTTTGATCCAAAAGATGGTCGCATCTCTATCGATTTGAAGACCTTGGTGATGCGGCTCATCAACAGATGCGTGGTGTCATCAGTGCCAGGCATTGAGAAGGTAGCCGTGGATAGGTCCAGCCGACAGGAGTGGATGTTCCGCGTGGAGGGTACCAACATAGTCGTATGTGAACTACCAATTCTCTTCGAACGGTTGCGTTTTGGATTGATTCTGTTGTTTTTAGTTCCATTTCGGTTAGCTGTACTATTGCTTGAGCCATGTATGGAAGCGCTCAGACTTTTCCAAACTTATGTCTGTATTAGCCGTGCATACTTACCATAGGCAATTTTTACGTGTATACATTCTCCGATAATTTCATGTCCGTTAACCTCCTCATACAACCGTTCCCGTGAATGTCATTTTCCTTGATTCTTTCTCACTCACCTCCTCGGGCAGTTTTCCCTTCTCATAAAGTCGGGCTTTGATCACACGATTAATTCACATTGTCTTCTCTTCGAAGCTGGGTCCACATTGTCTACTTTCCGCATTAATGGAGTCCATCGATTACGAGCAACTACCTTCTGGCTACTAACCGATTAACCTACGTACTTTTGGTGTGCAATTTTCCAACTAGAAATTGGAGCGACTTCGAAGTGAAGTCTATTAACAGCAGTAATACGATTTCCTTCTCACACCATAGAATTCGTCATGAATGTTAGCCACCAATTAATGTTTCATTTTCGTTGTGTCTATTTCACCATCTACAGTCACGTTGATATTTCAAGTAGTGTATTGTCACTGCTCGACACATGGTTGTTCTGTCAATTGTAGTGACGACTGCACTTTTCTCCAAGATCTCCGTATGCTTTCTGCATGTTGTCTGGTGTTTTTATTCACTTATCCAACTTGCTCCTTCGGTCGATTGAAAAAAGCGATAGGAACACTTGTTATACGCTGAAAGTATTGTTTCCCCTAAGGTATTTGTTTTAAGTCTTATCCGGCGCATTTAGTTTTCCTCGCTCTTATTAAGTAGGCAAATTATCAGTTTATGCTCCAGCAACTGCTCTGTTTGTTCATAGTGTTAGGCCAGCAAATTGAGAACTTGGCGGTCATTCAATGATGCAACATAGTTTCCCCAATTTTTAATGAATTTTTATCATCACAATTCTTCCAACCCATCACCCGACTTTTCTCCCTCAAAGGAAATTATGCGCTATCCTGGTGTGTTCGACATCAACCGGTTGTACACCAATAACATATCGTTGATGTACCAGACCTATGGAATCGAGGCCGCTCGAGCGGCCATTCAAAAAGTGAGATATCTTTTTCGCAATTTTGTCGTGTTTTTCTCCACTTATCCCTAATCTCACATTATCTAACTATCACAGTCGTGATGGGGCTAACCCGGCTGCAGCTTACGATCATCGCGTGGATGCAAACGCTTGGTCATCGTGCGAAGATATGGTGACATCGGTGAAACAGCTTTCTTGCGACACTTACTATCCTGCGTAACACAAAAGCAGACATCGTACCCACTTTACGTCCGAACTGCGATGGAGTGTCTCTGGAGTTTGGCATGTGACCCGTCGAATCATCTCTTCGCACCTACGACTTCGCAGTGTCTCAACCTACACGCAACCACTGTTGGTTGCATAGCAATGGAGTGTTGGTGCGAGATTCCAGCGTACTGCATACAGTCGGCAAACGTGCTACCGGTCTCACTTACTTGCTGTGTTGCGTAAGCTCTCCATGTTATCACGGAGTGAGCAGCGTCTACCCTGATCTGGAAAGCGAAACGGCCTAACGGCACTAAATTTAGGGATCAGGGTCCCCGTTTTTCACTGACTAGTGTGTGGTTGCCCCAGGCGGGACATTGTGGCATCGTAAATACTACACACCAAGCAAAGCTCCTTTTAATGAGCAGTTACATGGTACAGTTGTTCACATTTTAGAAAAACTGCAACGGGTATTTTCCTCGGATTTGGAGGACTAACGTACGGATCGCCCCCACTATTCCCCAATACTCATCTGCTCTGCTTATATGCCGTTTCCGACTGACACGGCAACGAACTTCTTGAAGACATTTGAGATCAGCGGACTTAGCGAATAAGTTGTCACTCCCTTACAGATGGACATTCCTCACCATCGTCTGTTATCCTTACTTTGTAATACCATTTAGGATCCTTTTGCACTACGGATGTCGTGGATTTTTGCAAGCAGTAATAGCGTTGCAATGCATAAGCTTTAAGTCACCACCACTCGTCACTACCAGTATTGCAACCACCAGGATCATTGAATTGACTAACTATTTCCATCTCTTCTTGAAGCCTTAGTGCAGCTGATTGTCGTGCAACAACACTTAACGCATTGACGGTGCAGAGTGCACGCCATGTGACAGGACCATTCCAACGGGTTAGTTGTGCCATTTCCCGATTATCCGATGACATGAGGATATCGACCGCGTAAGCCTAGTCGACCACTCTTCTGCCAGGCGGGACCCCAATATCTGCATCATTCGATTCTACTAGGAAGCTCCCTACAACGTAATTCGCGCTAACATTGCGTGGAACTCGGGAATTGGGTCAATCCTGACGCACACTGATTGTTTTTAAAGTGAGAGCAATGACTGATTTGTGTATAACCAACCTCGAGATGATAACTTTGGCACAGTTAGTTCTTAACCACCTAAGTGTCGTGAATTCTAGCCTCTTCAGCGCAGCAGGCATCAGCGCTTAGGGTATCCATTGCGTATGTAAGTTCCGACTGTTGGCCTATTTGTTGTGGGTTGTGAACGTTGAATACAGGGGAAAAAGTCGGACAGTGTTATTTGGAGAGGAATTTTAAGTCTTAGAAATCCATTGAACAGTGCGGATGCATATGACAGACCTCCGTTCGTGCTACAACCACCGAAACTTGCACTGGGTCTACAGAATGAGAGCAGTAGATCGAATCGCGGAAGGATGTATTTGAAACGGGTGAAATAGAGCTAGCGAACTATTAGCACTAGCCTACTCTCGCTTATCCGCGCTGGTATTATGTGGTAGTTAAGATGACACTTGAAACTGCTTGACTGTCAATGCATGATGATTTCAAATTTATAAGCTGTTGTTTATGAGTTGGGTTAGAAACTGCTCATGGTTTTATTGCTACGGTACGCCTAGTGTTTCCTTTGGATCAAAGGTGACTACGCTTTGAGCCTATGCAAAGTAATTGATCACTTCGAACATCCGTACCTACGTACCACTTCTTGTTTACAACACGGACCCAACGATAATAAGCCCACTTTTTGGTGTCCCGCTTCAAACTCTGCAGGCGCAACCTTTCGTTGCTGAATCGGAATCGTTTCCCTCTGCTAAATGAAGTTCTTCGCTTGCTTTACGACTGCTTAGCTCCACCTGTATTGTTTGCCGACGCTGTTGAATAAAGTCTCGGGGCGATCAGAGCTACCTGTTGTGTGGAAAGGAATGGCGAAATCAGTAAAATGTTTCCACCTACCTGATGCATAGCGTCCTCCCGAATGAGACTCACGGGCTCTATCACTTCAATGGTTAGAGGTCTTATGTAATATCGCGCAGTTATACTGTCGACAATAAACAAGATGGCAACAAACATTCACAGCTTGGAGGTGGTTTCAGCGTCGGCGCTCCAGGGAACTTCTAAGAATTCAAGTCTATAAGGGCCACTACCTTTAATTTGTTGGCCATGCTTTGTTGCGGTTCTGTTCAGTATTCGCTTCTTTCTACTTTGCACCTTCCTTTATGTCCGTTCCTATTCTTTCTTTACTCTTCCGTTATTTATTATTTTTGTTATAATGCTTGCTATACCAACTGGATCCTTCACACTCCGTTTCTTGGAAAACCAAATGGACTGATCTGCGTTTTAACAAGGGCGCACAATTTGATCTCCCTGTTTCGCGCTACTAGTTTTCAGACCTTTGGAATATATTTTTATGATCATATCCTATGGCAGCATCTTGTCGTCAGTTTCTATGGTTTTATACGTGTTATAATTGAGGGAACGCCGCCTCTGTTATGATTGCGTAGATGCCTGATAAGATTGTCACTGGCACGGTTGGGGCACGCCTACGATAACGGCTTGTGACGCTGGTCTGTTTCTACGTCACTGTTCGGAAGTTCGATAGCACTGGTATTCGGCATCCGATTTTTCCCCCTTACTCTTTCATCCGGCGGTTTTGTTCCTCTTCTTTTAGTTCATAACACTGCTTTACTTTTCTCACTTTTACTCGCGGTCCCTTCTTCTTCTTCTTCTTCTTCCAACAATTGGCTCACAGTGTTACTTTAAGGTAGTCACTCATCAACGCGACGGATCCATTCATTGTACTCATTGGCTGTCTACCTTTTGAATTTCAAATAACCCTATGCATAATCCATTTGTACCGTTTGTCTCATGGTTTTGCTTTTGCTTGTCTAGGAAGTTTCCAGCGTTTTCGGCCACTATGGGATTTACGTGAATCCCAGACACTTATCTTTGGTGGCTGATTACATGACCAAGTCTGGTTTTTACCGCGCTTTCAACCGATCAGCCTTTGCTGGCCATCCATCGCCGCTGCAACAGATGTCCTTCGAAACTGTGAGCACCGCTTTAAAGGATGCCATACAGGATGGTAAGCGAACCTTCTCGTTTTCCGTTGTTTGCATCCAGTTAACACATGACTCTCATACCATTCATTTTTCTGATGTGGAAGTATGAATGAGTCCACTGCAAGCATGCTTGAACGGTAGTGTTGTTAACATTGATCAGCCAGCATTTGAATGGAGCACTACGATGTAGAAGCAAATATTGGCAGCTCAGGTTGTTCAGTTTGAGGTCTGATTGTTCGCTGAGCTCCGCAGTTTGGTTGTAAACGTCTCGTCACCACCCAAGGTGATATCTTCGGTGCGCGTGTATATATCAAAGCTGCGCGGTACGAAGCATCAGTCTGAGTTTGAATCGTTCGACGGGCACATGACCATCAAAGGTGGTCACTTTGATTAATGCCTCGTAGCTTACTCACGCGTGCCTCTGTGGTTGACGTCATCGTTTGACGCATTTGTCCGGCGTTCTGTTCCATTAGGTTTAGTGGACTAAGTCGCTGGTAGTAAATCCGTAGTGCTGCATATATATATATATATATATATATATATATATATGTAACATTTGGTTTGTGGGCTACCAAGATTCTACGTGGCTGAAGCAATCTCGCTGTTACTTCAGACACGTTCTTAATGTATGGAAGCACTACGCGTTTATCCACGTGTTCCCGCTGTCGTTGAGGTACTCTTTGCTTTAGGATTCTGATGAAATTTCTTGGATACCCGTAGTTTTGCAATACTCGATATATATGGTTTCTCTTCCTTTTCCATCAATGCTGTCGTACTACAATGTGGTTTCCACCCTTCTGAAAAAGCTTTGAATGCAGCTTTTCTTATGGTTCAGTGGATGATTATAATAATGTGTCAGCTGTACACCGTTACGGCGCTTCGCTCCAGCGCGACCAGCACTAGTCGCGCATGGGCTGAGTACACCGCGAGGACACCCGCCCTTACGCGGAGGTTCGGTGGATGATTGCTGTGATACTTTAATATTTGGTCCGTCACGAACTTGCGGAAGAAACGATGATGGAATTACTTTAAAATCCACTGAACACAGCAGGTAATCTCATGCCGGAGAGCGGTTGGGAACTCCTGAATCTCTGCAGGACCACTTATATTTGCTTTGATGGGCAAGTATACCACCAACTGAAGAGAACGCCCATGGATTCACCAATATCAAGACTTATAGTAGAAGCTGTGATGCAGAAACGAGCGTATCGCAATACCGTTGATCAAATTGAAATTATGGATCCGATACGTCGATCATACGTATGTCATCATCCAACGGGATTCCATACGAAATACACATGAGCTAATCAATAACACATTCCAGTGTATCAACTTTACCATTGAGCTCAAGAAGGACAGCCAGTTCCCATCCCTAGATCTACTGCTCCACTGCAACACCCACGGAAAACTTCAAGGATGTGTGTATAGGAAGAAAACCCATACTGATCAAATATAAATTTACCACAGCAACCATCCATTGAACCATAAGAAAAGCTACATTCAAAGCTTTTTCAGAAGGGTGGAAACCACATTGTAGTACGACAGCATGGATGGAAAAGGAAGAGAAACCATATATATCGAGTATTGCAAAACTACGGGTATCCAAGAAATTTCATCAGAATCCTAAAGCAAAGAGTACCTCAACGACAGCGGGAACACGTGGATAAACGCGTAGTGCTTCCATACATTAAGAACGTGTCTGAAGTAACAGCGAGATTGCTTCAGCCACATAGACTCTTGGTAGCCCACAAACCAAATGCTACTTTGAGAGGATCGTTCTCAAAGCCGATGGACAGAGTCAAACAAGACAGTCAAAATGATGTTCTCTACAAAATAAACTGCAACGAATATGACACCGCATCGGGCAAACTGGAAGGTAACTTTCAACACGGATCAGCGAACACAAAATGGCCATACGGAGGCTCGACCAATATTCCCTTGTTCCCATGCATGAAGATCAAGATGGACACCACTTCGACCTAGGATACGTAAAGATCCTAGCTCGTGGCAAGCTAGAGTCTTCTTAGAAGCATGGTATTCTACAGGCTATGTAATCAACTAACGCGTTGAAGTAGATGTCATATATACAGTACTACGGATAAACTACCACCGACTTATTCAACTAAATCTAACCGGACAGAACGCCGGACAAATACGTCAAACGACGACGTAAACCGCAGAGGCACGCGTGCTTAAGCTACGAGACATGAATCAAAGTGACCATTTTTGATGGTCATGTGCCTGTCGAACGAAATACACTGAGACCGACGTCTCGTCCGCTTACTCGCGCTTCGAACCGCGCAGTTTCGACACATACACGCGCACTGCCGTTGTCACCTTGAGTGGTAACGAAACGTTTACAGCCAAACTGTTGAGCTCAGAGAGATACATTGTTTTGTTGTATATTCGTTTATCCCGGATCTATTTCACGCGAGTCCAGGACCGGAAGTGGCACTGTGCACTTGTCCACCTTCATCATCACCTCCTATTTCTCAGGTCTACCATCTTCTTACTCCTGTTTTGTGCCTGCCTATTTTCGTTTGTTACTAAGCTCAAGGTGATTGACTTTGTTTCTACGTTTACGGTATACATGGGGCATATTTGCGGAAGGTATCATCTTTCACTATTCGTCTTCGTATTCTCTTGCACAAGTTGAGGAATGGAACTCAATGCTTTAAACAGTTATTGTCACATAATGAACTCTGTCCAGCGGGCACCCGCAAATGTTGTGAGTTCTTAAGTCCCAGCATTGCCTTGCTCCCATTAGTACATCTCAAAATCGATATCGTCCATGTTGGGGTTCTCGGACTTACAACATCTGCTTAGTTGTAGGCAGAATGGGGATTTGTTGGGTTTTTGTGAAGATTTGTCGCAGGTAAACTCAGGCAGGCAGCCACCACACATTCAGGAAAGCGTTAAATTTAACATCTAAACCTATTAGTCCACGCTTACGCGCCTGATTCTTAGGAAAACCCTAACAATTTACTTTGATGTGCATTTGTTAATCTGTGACAATGTGTGAGTTGGCTGCTTATACGGTGTTATTGGGTTGTTACACTCAACCTCTGCCCCTCTTACGTCTGTCTTCCTGAGTCGTGCTGAGCATTCCATGTCTGATTAATTCACGTGTACCATCTTATGCGCGTAAGGGGTAACTTCTCAACTCAGCGAGTGCTCTATCTCAGAGCTATCAGAAAGTAAAAGAATTTCAACCATACTTGTGCCCGGCACTCCTAGTTCCGAATCCATTTAATAGTAGGAGAATTCCATTAACAACAGTAATTCCGCAGATGCTATTACAAACCTGAAGCGTTCATGGCAAGCTGTATGTTTTATCAAGTTCTCTGTGGGAGCTGGCAACGTTCTGATGTGTCTGCGCATGACTTACTCCCTAATGATTTTCACATTGACCGTTGGTATTTATATGCAAGTCACAGTCCTGATTAAGCTGACTGGTTACATGTCTCACCTAAAAGTAGTGCATCTACCTGTCACGTGTCGCATGAATTTTCTATTTTCCCCAATTGACTTAGCTAAAGCGTCCCAGCTCAAGCCATTTTTTTCGTTTTATCTTCACATTCTGCAGTGATTTTATAACAGTAGCGCTCTCCTTACTCAATGGCTTTTTGTCCACCTGCTTTACGCAGTTTCGTAAAGTAAATAGCAGTAGCGCTCTCCTTACTTTTCGTTCACCTGCCTTACGCAGTTTCGTAAAGTAAATAAGTCCATTATTTATCCTTGTTCATGAATCACTGATGAATGAAGTTGACGGCTTCCAGGATAACCTTCAACAAGTTACTTGGACCCACCAGTGTCTCATCACGATGGTGGAACACATGACAGCTACCCACTAGCCATCTCATTGTGTTTTTCATCAGTTCGAAGTTCTATCCAACAATCTCATTACGTCTTGTGCTCAAAATCGGTCTTCAGGTCCATCTTTGAAATTAGTTGCCTCTTTCTTTTCAGGCTTCTTAAGATTGTTCACTTGGGTCTGGACTTAGATTCTATCAACCTTTGCTAAGTACTACTGGAAACCGGTTCCCGAAGAAGTACTTGTGGTCCGCAAAACTGCATTTTCTCTCTTTGCGTGTGTGTGTTGGACATAGAAATGGCGCTGCTCTTGGTAACCATCGAAAGTTATTCCCTCTCTTATGGGAACGGGCAGCAGAAGACCTGGTTTTAGTGAAACTTTTAGACAAGAAGGGACAGTCCATCCACAAATTGTCGAAACGATTGAAAGTTTTTCTCTGAACATTTTTAAAAACAGTGTAACCGACCAGGTTTATCAGCCCGCAACCGGTCCTTTCAGATCCACCCTCGCGCAGAAGTCGAATGTGAGACCGAACTTCTAAAAATGATTAATGCCACAAGATTGGCTCGACTTCAACAACAGCACTTGTAAATGATATTCACTATTTGTTAGGGAAATTTAGAGAAGAAGAATCGTGCAAAGTGGCTGGAATTGCTCCGCTTTTTTTCCCGATCCTCAGGGGAATTTCACCTTTGTAATATCGGTCTGACCTACATCGCCTCTAATTTATGTGCCTCTGGTTTTCTTGTGGATTGACTGCTGCATGTGAAAGCCATATCTGCGAAGAACAAGTCAGGTTTCGTCAAAGTCGAGACCACAATGATCGCCTTTTATACTTTCAAAATACAACGTTTTCTCCAGGATTGACAGGGTGCGCCCTCTGTATTGGCCCTTGTTGGGGATCAGCTACAAGTCGTACAAAAATTCGACCACCTTGACAGCTTCAGCGGCATCCATGGAATAGAACTTGAGGTCAGGAACCGGATAGTGAAAGCTGGAGGCACTTTTGCTTAACATCGCTACTTAATGCGCCTGCGCGACATCACTATCATCTTTAAGGGTAATGTCTACAATACAGTCCTCTGTTTAGCCCCCCCTCTATTGTATTACGAAAGCCTTCCCATGAAATCGACTGATATAAAATAGCTAGTTGGCTCCGACCACCAGTGCCTTCGTAGTTTAACTCATGTTTGGTGGGAACACCCGGTGATAGGTGCGCATGTTCACCGTCCTGCTTATGGCGCAGGAAGAACGTGAACCGCTCAGCACCGTTATTCCAGACTAATATGGCTGGCTCATAGGCGGCATTAGCCGACACACTGACTACTGCGATGTGCGTTGTTTGCTTTCCCCGGGTGTGGATGAAAGAAGCAAAGGGGAGGCCTACTTGGTGAGAACGAATGAAGTCCCTCACTTCAAAGTTAGCCTCTCAACTCCTGTGTTTGGGCCTGAAAGACGACCAACGCACTTTGTTAAATACACTTGTTGACATGACGAAAAGCGTATTTATCCATCTCCATCGCGTTCAGTTTTCTCCTCCAACCACGATCCTATCACCGGTGCGTGATATAAAACAAGGTATAATAATATTTTGTTTTACCTGCATCCTTTTCTTTTTTCTACTACCGTTTAAATGCTCCGTATTTTGACACAATAGCGGAAGCGTTTTCACACCCCTGACGAACATTTAGATTGATGTATAATGGTGACATTTAAATTCTTTGGTTATTTTTCTGTGCCGTGAATCTTTCTTGCCATGAAATAGTATTGCTGGTGATCACCTTCCCCTTGTATAGCAATCCACAAGCACACTTAACGATTTATTTTTTACTGTGGTATATACTTACACAATGAATTTGTTGCTCACATGTCACGCATTCTTATGACAATTTAACTCTTTCCTGTCGAAGTTCTCTGCAACAAATTGTTCTCTTTCTACTGCAGATCGCGTAGATACTTTGGTTTCTCCGTCCGCCAGTCTGATTACCGGTCGAATAGTTCACAACGCTGGCACCACCTGTTTTGGGATGTACCAACGATTGCCCTACTGATAACCTACTCCATTGCTCCGCCCTCTCCGCTTTCGACTGTACAGACATGACCGACCATGCGAGATTATTTGAACTTACATTTCCTTGTGAATATAACTATTTTCCTGAACGGATATTTTTTTAACTACGTACATATACTACGTACGTATATATCGTAAGCATGCGTTCACTTAAACATGGGTCTCACGGTTTATCCCTGTGGTTGTGTCTTCCGTTTGGTTCTTCTGAACTACGCCTTGCTTACTATTTGCGCTTTGATGGTCTACAGATAGTGAAATCATTAGCCCCACTCCATCCACTTCCTCATTAAGCATGTTCATGGGTTGGACGCAAACGTTAGTGATATCGAAACAAATGACTAGCGATGGGTAATAAGTAAAGGCCCCAGTTTTCCGGAAAACGTAGAAAAACTGCGTAATTTATGAAGCTCGCGAAATCATATCAAAAATGAGAAATTCGTAAAGCAAGTTACTTTGAATTCGCTTTTGCGGATGTCTTTTCAGAAAATAAAACAGCATTTACTAGGAAATACTACACCGAACAGGGCAGAGTTTCCTGGAGAATACTACGTGGATAACGCAGATAAGAAATTACTGTGTTGTTCTTCGTGTTAAGTGACTGTGGATCCATCTCGAAAATCAACCGTGTTTGCCCGTATTCGCAGCCAGAAGCATCTTCAGAAGAAAGCTCACAAGGAGGAACAAGCGGCTAAACTTGTTGCTAAGGAACAACCAGTTCTGAAGAAAGCTCGACAAGCAAGAATAGTTAGTTTCAGGGCCGTTACAAATGCTACCCAGAGAGCCCGTGACACAATTGTATCTCACTTTCTACTTGCTATGATACGTGAGAATATCCCTATATAGAGTGCCGTAAACCCTCAGTTGAGGAAATTTCTTCACAAATACTTACGAAATAGCGGACGCATTGCCGGATCTAACGCACTACGTCTGAAAACTCGCCAGGTATACGGGAAACACGAACAGATATTGAAAGAGATGTTCTATGAGACTTTTGTTAGCTTCATACTAAATGAAACAACTGATGATTGCGGAAACATGGTACTGTACATTATATTATTCTCACCATTGAAATCCAGCAAGGACAGTCTGCGAACATACTTCGTCAACATGGTCAATATGGACAGAGTCAACTCTGCCATAGTTGGAAGAACCATTCTGCGCATTTTGACAATAATTGGTATCGACTTCAGTCGTGTAACGGCTTTCGTGTCGGATGGCTCATGCTACCGAGATGTCATTAAGCCTGTTTGTGAGGATGCAACTCTCATTCGATGTGCTGCTCATTACATCAATTTCATTGAACAGATCTTTCGATGGATTCGTTGCAAAAATGTACAGTGCTTTTCGTCTTTCGGCAAAACAGAACCGTGTCTAACTCAGGAGTACGTGGATAACAAGACCGGGCCACCTGCTAGCTGGAAGCTGTCGCACACCACAACAACTATCATTACCCAGCCGTGCTGCAAGCTGGACGTTAGTTTGGAGACACCTGGTGTTTGTGGCAACTTAGTTGCATTGCGACCGTCGGCAGGAACATCATCTGTCACTTGAAAACCGGCAAATCCGTCTCCGGTAACTCATAACATTTACAACGACCTTTCTGATCTATCCATGTCGCTGAAGAAAACTGGCTGCCGCATTTGCAGGCGGAGAGACTGATCTTTGATGGGTCTAGCGAAATCCAAACTGACATGCAACTCTGCTTCTCCCAAGCTCCCAAAAAAGCTCATAAGTTACTGCTATCAGAGGCTAGCTAGCAGTTTCTGTAAATGCTCGACCCCAACCAGCTCATCACCTTGCCTAGGGATCCAGCAGCTATCTCGACGCTCCAGGCCCGGTTCGTTCCCCAGCTCTGGCAGCCGAATGGCTAATCTATCGAAGGGTGGTGAAGGAATTCCATGGGGAAACTATGAAGACGCGCTGTCTTTCTGGTGTGGGACGCATAAAAGAATTCCACAACCACATAAATAATTAAAAAGGTTTATTCCTGGACGTTGCGAGGCACATTCGTAATCATTGGTCTGATCATCATGTAGAACGGGATCACGTGGGATGGATGATAGTTCTTTGAATTTTTTCAGAGTACTTCCTAAACTATTTTGCGGGGCTGATTGATCTGCTGAATCTTTCAAATAGATAGGGATATTGATAGTAATGATAAGTGTAGATAAATTCCAATGTTCTGGTAAAGTAATGCGGCCAACCGCACTCGTCTCCAGGGGACCGCTTCCATGCAGGGTAGTCCTTCTAAACGTTTCACCCACATTTCCATGTCTCATCTGACCGTGTACTGGTATAGCTTTAAAGCAGGTTAGACGTCACTATGTTATTCCTTTTTAGAGCTCTTTGTATATATATATATATATATATATATATTTATTTATTTATTTATGGATTCACATCAAATAATTCCATGGTAAACTTCAGGTGTAGGATGGAGACGTAGCGCTTAGTGACAAAGTGTAACTGGATGAGTGCATCATACAACCGTCTTTTAAAGACTGTTAGTGTCGGCGCAGAGACCGCCGATTCTGGGTGAGAATTCCACGGATGACAGACACGAATGAAAAAGAAATCTCAGCGGCACTCCAGACGACTGTATTGTTCTGCGAGTTTTAATGAGTGGCCCCTCAGGTTTGTATTGCTACTGAGTTGCAGTAAAGGGCGGCACACATGATGTCGGTCTCGCAGCATCAAGTATGCCATAACCAGGTCGCCTCGTAGTCTGCGACAGCTTCCACTGAATACCCCAAATCGTTGTAGCCTCTCCTGGTATGAAAGATGGCGCATTTCAATTACGTTCTTAGATGCCCGGCGTTGTGGCTGCTCCAGTGCAGTAAGGTCGTGTTTCAGCCGTGAATGCCAGTCTTGAATTGCGTATTGGACATGGGGGTGAACATACGCACTGAGCATTTGTCGAAATATGGAGCTGTTTATTTGTCCAAACGCCCGTCGCAACAGCCCGATCCGTTGGTTTCCAGTCTTCGATGCCTTTTCGGATTGCCTGGAGCAACCCAAGTCATCTTGAACCAGAACACCCAAGTCACATTCGACACCTGATTGTTGCAGTACATTCGTTCCGAGCCGGTATGTGTAGCTGCCCTGATGTCGGATGGAAAGCACTTCGCATTTACTGACGTTGAAATGCAATACGTTGTGGGTCGACCATTGATATATTGTATCTAGGTCAATCTAAAGTAAATGCTGGTCGGCGTTCGCCTGGATCCTGCGCCAGATCTTGATATCGTCCGCAAACATTAGGAAGTTTGAAGCGATTCCCTGTGCAAGGTCATTAATAAACACCGAAAACAAACGTGGACCTAGAACTGAGCTTTGGGGCACACCACACTCAACTTGTATGGGGTTCGATAATGAGCTCGGAACTCTGACCACTAACTGCCGTTGAAGTAGAAAGTGGACAATCCAGCTTAAAAGGTCGAGGATCCCGTAACGCTGGAGCTTGGAGAGTAGTATCCTATAGTCTAGACGATTGAAAGCCTTCGAAAAATCCAGCTAGATCACATCAACGCCTACTCCAGCGTCAGCTGAGTCGGTCCAACTACTGCGTGCGATTAGTAAATTTGTTATACATGACCGCCGTCGGCGGAAACCGTGCTGTTCAGGAGTGATGATGTCACAGTTTTCCAGATGGCACACCAATGCATCGGCAACCATGGATTCCATGACCTTGGAGAGTATAGGAAGAAGGGATACTGGACGGTAGTTGGAGGGATCAGTTCGGTTTCCACCTTTGCGAATCGGGATTATTATTCCAAGCTTTTCACATAGCGGGAACTTGATTCTGCTCTTAGCAGCGCTAGAAAAACTGAGCTAAAGGTCCTACCTGATGGCTTGCTGCTGGTTCCAGTGCCTCTGGACGAATGGTGTCGACACCCGGCGAGCTGTGTTTGCGTAGAGACGTCAGCTTTCGCAATACAGCCTCCGCGGTAAAAGTCAGGTAAGTCAGTCCTGGCAAGGAGAAGACAAAGCTTGGTAGATAGCCTGGTCGCAAACTCTTTGAAAAGTGGGAGCGTTTTGCAGCTTAAGCGCGTCTGCTGCTTCCACAGCCGTTCTTGTTGGGCCATCAGCCGTCCTGAAGGGAGGAAATACTTGCTTCACCTTTTTCATGCTATTGACGTGCTTGTACAACAGCTTGCGGCTGGCACTGAAGGTTTTTGCGATGTTCTGCTGATAGGCGGTTTTGTCTTCCCTTAACAGTTGAGTGCAGTGGTTACGTTGGGCTACGTAGTTGTCCCAAGTTTCTGGTGCTGGAGCTTCTCTGTACACTCGCCATGCTGCGTTGCGTACTGTCATCCATATTTGAGTTCTGCTCCTAACGTAAGAAACTGGTTTACACTTATAACAAACGTTTATCTCTGAAGCCTTTACAATCAGCTGACTGAATTTCTTTTGACGCACTCAAGCCAGGCGACTTCCAAAGGTTCTTCTTTGAGGAACGACCAAGTTGTGACGCTGACGAGCTGGGCTAATCGGTCGTAGCTTGTGATGGTTCGCACAGTCTCATCTTTCTCATTCAGATATTCAGCATAGCAGACGAAGTTGAAACTGATCACGGCGTGAGCACTGCGTCCCAACGGGCAGTCTACAACCAACACAACAATCATATGCTCCTCGGTGGTAAGCACAAGCTCCAGCACAGATGGCCTGTTACCTGTTCTGAACCGAGTGGGCAAAGTTATGTGGATGTAAAGAGGCACAGTAGTTACTAGGTCTTGTAGATCGGCTTTGAATTGTTCTCTGATCGTGGCGGGAGTTTCTAAACAATGTGGGCTGAAATCACCCATGATAAGAATGTGAGTGTACTTTTGTTGTAAACTGCATCTTAAAGCAGCCGCTAGGTGCTAGTCGGTTTCGGGTGTTGAGTTAGGGGCGCGGTACACCAAGACAATAAGGCAAGCGTCCCTGCCTTTTAACTGCAACCGGCACCAAAGAGAGTCGGGGAACTGCGAGCCCGAATCCTCCACGGCTTCGCATTGTAAGTCGTTTCGGTAATACAGGATTACCCCTCCTCCTTTTGTGAGCCTGTCGTTCCGGATCAGCGACATGCCCGGTAGCGAAACTTCAGC